AGACAGATGGCCTTTGTCTCAAATGAGGAAAGGGTCCATGATTCATCATGGCCTGTACACCCATACTGGTGAGGAAGGGTCTTTTAGGTCTCCCGCCCTCCTGGTTTCTCATGAGCACCCAGCGGATGCCTGTGGAGAAGAACTGATGAGTGGTTATGGGCTCTTCATTTCTATCAGGCTTACATAGATTCTGATGTCATGTTAGCTCCTACCAAGCCATTTATTTACTTGTTTGTTTAAATTTATTGTTGTTCTGTTACAGCTGTCTGCATTTTTCCCCCACCACTCCCCCCACCCCAGCCAAACCCACCTCCCTCTTTTGCTCCCACCCTCCCCCTTGGTTTTGTCCATGTGTCCTTTATAGTAGTTCCTGAAAACCCTTCTTCCCACTGTCCCCTCCCTCCTCCCCTCTGGCTGTTGTTAGATTGTTCTTAATTTCAATGACTCTGGTTATATTTTGCTTGCTTTTTTCTTTTGTTGATTGTATTCCAGTTAAAGGTGAGATCATATGGTTTTTGTCCCTCACCGCCTGGCCACAAGCCTTTTAGATTGGGTTAGAAATCTAGTTTTCTTCTTACGAACATTTATGGAAGCCATCTCTTCACCCTTTGCTTTTGTCTGTTGTAAAACAGTTGTCTCCTTAGGGGAGCTTTTCAATGTCTGGAATTCAGTTCACTTGGTTGCCTTGCAACCTCAGCTCTCTGATGAACTAAAAAGAAATACGATTTTGTAGATTTTCTAATATTTATGTTGAGGAACAGTGCTAGTCTTTTGTGGATTTTAACTTGCTAAATGGAAACAGAACTCTAGAGTTGATTATCTAACTGGACTGTGTTGTTCCTTTTCTTTAAATGTCCTTTCCCAGTTCACCTTGGCCTTCAGGGTGAACCCTGAAGTCCTAGGCCTGGCCTGTGAGGACCTTTGTGATCCAGCCCATATCCATTTCATCAGGACTCAATTTGCACTTCAGACACAGGGGCCTTGGTAGTTAATATATAAGCAAATCCTAAATGCTGTTTTAGAAATTCTGTTTGTGGTCTTTATTTTTCCTTGCCTGAGAATCACCTTCCATCCTTTAATGAGTATTTTCTTCTTGTAACATGATTTAGAATTTCATCCTTATTTCTTTTGTGTATTTAAGCACCAATTATGGTTTTATAAAAGCAACATAAGTTTGTGTGATTGAGGAAGGAAAGACCCAACAAAATAAAATGCTATTCACAAGTTAGTTCAATTATTGATGCTGTTGCTCTTGGCAACCAATGAAGATTGGTAAAGAAAATAAAATTGTTTCCGAATAGGCCTTAAAAATCCTCATCTTTATCTGCCAAATTATGTAGCAAATAGGCAGGCATGTTATTTATTAGTTCAGCATTTCACAATGAGTGTGTCTAGCTTGGTGTGCCAAATATCAACTGTTTAGTTCATAAAGTTGGTTGTTTCCCGCCACCAGCAGCTTCTTCCTGTTATCTGAGGGTGCTGTACAGAAGTGTTTTCTGGATATGCCACGGTGTGGAAAATGTGGGGAAGTGCTGGACTGGATGATTTCCTACATTTTCTTTCCCAAAAAACGTTGGGAGGAAACTAGTTACAAGGTATTGGTAATAATTATAATTAATGCCTATCAGATGGTGTCTGTGTGCCAGGAGTTTGCAAAACACTGCCTTTGCCCTTATTTCATGCTCAAACCAGTCCTGTTCCATAGTTAACAATCATCTAGGGCACTTACCCAAGGTCCTTATAGGTAAGTGGCAAAGCTGCGACATAAAATCAGGTTTAAAAAGTCTTACCTTTTAACCATTATAATATTTTTAAAATTATATTTTATGGATTATGTTATTACAGTTGTCCTGATTTTTCCCCCTTTCCCCCCCTCCACCCAGCACCCCCCATTCCCTCCGGTAATTCCCCCACCATTGTTCATGTCTATAGGCCATTTGTATAAGTTCTTTGACTTCTCCATTTCCTATACTGTACTTTACATCCCCACAGCTGTTCTGTAACTACCTATTTGTACTTCCTACTCCCCTCACCTCTTCACTCATTCCCCCACACCCTCCCATCTGGCAGCCACCAAAACGCTCTCTGTATCCATAATTCTGTCTCTGTTTTTGTTTGCTTAGTTTGTTTTGTTAGATTGAATTGTCGATAGATATGTATTTATTGCCATTTTATTGTTCATAGTTTTGATCTTTTTCTTAAATAAGTCTTATTAACATTTCACATAATAATATTTTGGTGAAATGTTTTTTCTGGTTAGGGAAGTTTTTTCTTGTCTGGGAAGCTCTTTATCTGCCCTTCCATTCTAATTGATATCTTTGCTAGGTAGAGCAGTCTTGGCTGTAGGTCCCTGCTTCTTGCAAATCCCTTCTAGTCTGCAATGTTTCTTTTGAGAAATCAGCCGATAGCCTTATGGAAACTTCATTGTAGGGAACTCTCTGCTTTTGTCTTGCTGCTGTTAAGATTCTCTTCTTATCTTTAACCTTTGGCCTTTTAATTATGACGTGTCATGGAGTAGGTTTGCTATTTTGCATCCATCTTGTTTTGGACTCTCTCTGCTTCCTGGACATTCATATCTATTCCTTCACTAAATTAGGGATGTTTTTGTTCACTATATTTTCAAATAGATTTCTAATTTCTGGTTCTTTCTATTCTCTTCCTGGTACCCCTGTGATGTGAAAGTTGGACCGCTCGAAGTTGTCCCAGAGGCTGCTTATACTGTCTCCATTTTCTTGGATTCTTTTTTCTTCTTGTTCTGATTGATTGGTTTTTGCTCCCTTATGTTCCAAATCATTGATTGGATTCTTGACTTTATCCACTCTACTGTTGTTTTCCCTGTAAATTGTTCTTTATTTCAATTAGTGTATCTTTGGTTTATGACTGGATCTTTCTTATTCTATTGAGGTCCTCACTGAAATCCTTGAGTATTCTTGTAACTTGTGTTTTGAACTCTGCATCTGATAGATTGCCTATCTCCATTTCATTTAGCTCTTTTTTGGAATTTCGATCTGTTCATTCGGGCCATTTTTCTTTGTGTCCTCATTTGGCAGCCTCCCTGTGTTTGATTCTATGTATTAGGTAGATCTGCTTTGACTCCATGTCTTGGTAGTATGGCCTAATGTAATAGGTGTCCTGTAGGGCCCAGCGGCATAGCTTACCCTATTACCCAAGCCGGGTACTTGAGGTGTGAGTACACCCTCCTCTTATAGTTGAGCCTTGGTTGCTGTTGGCAGGTCAATGGGAGGGATTTAACCAGGCCAGCTGGCTACAAGGACTGGCTGTGACCACTTACCCCCAACTTCCTCCCTCCGTGGAGGATCAGCGGTGCAGGGTCAGGGTGGTGGTACTCTGACATGGTCTGTAGCTTTCCACTGGGTCTGCAGGCTCTGGGGTTTCACTGGTGGTGCAGGCCAAGCTCAGCCCCCACCTGTGTTCTGCCTGGGCCACCCTTCATGAGCTATAAAACAGTCTGAGATGGCTGCTCCTTGTGCTGAGCTTGGAAATTCCCAGGTGAAGCCAAGCTATGAAGCTAGGCTGATGGCTGCTAGTGCTGGGCCTAAGGCTCACTGAGGCTGGGTGTTGCTTGTTTGACAGGGTTTAGGAAGTTGTGAAGCATGAGCCAAATCCAGCTCATTCAGAAAAACAGCTTGGGTAGGCTGTAAGTTGGGTGGGGTGGAGTCTCTGGGGATCTCCAAGGTGGGTCAGTGAGTGGTAGCCAGATTGATGGAGTCTCAGGTATGGTACCAGCTTGCCAGCTCTGTGAGGCAAGGGTTTAGAAAAGATACGATGGCCTCTGCTTGCCTTGATACCAGACCTGTATACCATTAGTGCCTTTCAAGCTACTACCTGGTGCTGGAACTTAGAGGGAGTGAGTCTGAGTAGGTGAGTCCATGTGTGAGTTCTTGAAGAGGACCTGCTTAAGTAGCAGTTTGTTTCACAGACTCAATCCCTGCTGATTTTTGCAGCCAGAAGTTGTGGAGACTTATCTTCCTGGGACTGGAACCCTGGTCTGTCGGTCCTGGTGTGGGGCTTGGACTCCTCATTCCCAATATATCCCTCCTGAAGTTTTATCCATGACATGTAGATGAGGGACCAGTCTGTTCTGCATCTGAGCCCCTCCTACCAGTCTGTATGGATGTGGTTTCTTTACTTCTGTAGTTGTCAGACCCATTCAACTCAATTTCTGATGGTTCTGGGTGATGGTTGTTAAATATTTGAGTTGTAATTTTGTTGTGGTTGTGCAAAGAGACAAGCCATGTTTGCCTATGCCACCATCTTTACTGGAAGTCCCAACCATTTTGATTTACTCCTACATTATTAAATTATCTGCAGTAGAAAAGGTTCATGATTTCTTCTCATTTTTTTTCAACTCAGGCTTTCGGTACTTGCACATAGGAAATTGTTTCTCATTGCTATATTAATTGACTGTTCTGATAGCAGGTGAATTGGTGGAAAATGACCTATTTGAACTTTTCAAATGTTATGAGAAAAATAGGTGCCTGTAATTAACAGTTTTCTGAGCACTGAAGAAGGAATTGGCACCCAACAAAAATAGCTCTTAACACATTGACAAGAAAACACATTAAAATATGTGTGAATGCAGAGGTGGAGTGTTACTGCCCAGTATTTACGAAGTGCTCAAGTTGAGACATGTAGATTTTTTCAATTCATTCATGAACTGATAATGATCACTGTCTTAAGAAACATCAGTGCCAGAAACATCAGAGAGAACATGGGTCCCTGGGTGCAGAAGTGTCATTCATTAGATATTACAGTTCAGTACTAAGGTAACCTGAAAGTATCACAAGTCCTCATAACCTTAAAGAGATTGATGAATGTTGTGTAATATTCCTTCATCAGCTTTCATGTAGTGTGAAATGCTGAGACACTTTCTGAGCCCCAGGACAGGAGAGGTCTCTTGCTACTCTTTTGACTTGCATACAATGAATGCTTTGTTTGGAATTAAGAATATTTATATTTATATTTTTTTGCCATTCTAGGTCGGTGATGTAGTAGAAGTGCAGGCAGATGAGACCTTTCCCTGTGACCTTATCCTTCTATCTTCCTGCACTAGTGATGGAACCTGTTATGTTACTACAGCCAGTCTTGATGGGGAATCCAATTGCAAGGTAATGCCGACTACACCTTAACATTTTAAGCTCAGGATAGTTCATCAGAAAATACTCCTTTTCACTGCCTCCTAATCATTTATCTTATTTTATTTGGGTGAATTTTGTATTTGAGGACAGCTCTTACATAATTATTTTTGAGCTTCTAAGCCAATTGCTAACTTTGGGAAAAGGGTGGGGAAAAGGATAGCAGGGTGAGGAAACTGCATGTCCCAAATAAAAGTCACTGCATTTTTAATAGCATTGCCTGCATTTCATAGTGACGTAACCCACTCAGTATTTTATGTAGGCTTTTAAAAAGGAGAGTAATCATAAGCTGAAACTATATAACTATGAAAATAATTTCAACTATTGTCACCTTACAGTGTGATCTGTTTTTATTTTTAAAGTGGTGAATATTTTTCTTTAAAAATGCTTGTTCCTGGCATATAGAAAATCTAATCTGGAGTAATTTAATTGCTTTTAAAACAGTACCTTAGGGCATAGTTTGTCTAATGTTTGCTTTATTGCACCTAGGAAGAATTATAAATCTGTTCAAGTAAATTTGCTCAAACTGGAAAAATCAGTTCTTTGTCTGGTACTTTCTGACATAGTCAGTTCTTGGTCATTTTCCAGAGTTCCATGGGGGTATGAATATGTGTTCTCTACATGCTTCCTTTAAGAAATGATACCCATGTGCTCACCTCTGTGTATATACTTGTGAGTTCTCCTTTGTTTATTCCATCTGGAGTTGAGAACCAGGACTCAGTCTGAAAGAGAACTTTATTTTTTTTAATTTTATTTAGTTATTTTTCAAGTACAGTTTTCTGTCTATTTCTCTTATCCCAGCCCACCCCGCCCCATGCTCCCCACCTCCCTCCCATTTCCACCCCCCTTAGTTATTGTCCCTGTGTCCTTTATACTTGTTCCTCTAAATCCGTCCCATTTTTTCCCCTTAAATTCCCTCCCCTCTCCCCTCTGGTCACTGTCCCATTGTTCTCTATTTCAGAAAGAGAACTTGACTACATTCTATACTTCAAGAGTATGGTGATAAGCTAGTCCCACTTAAACTGTTCAAAAACTAAGTTATATTCGAGGGAATGTCAAGGTAAAAATCAAGAAATCTACCTAAAGATTTCCTAAAAGAGGATAATGTTGTTAAGTTGATCCAGTCAGATCAGCCAAAAGTACATAGGTTATCAAAGTCAGGAGAGAGTTTTAAATATAGCTCAGGCAGTTCCATAATATTCCCCAAAGACTATGCAACAGCTTTCCCTTCTGTGGAAGTGGTACAGTCTTTGAGTCTGTGTCAGCCTTTCTTTGATGATTTATAAATGGGTTCACTGGAGCCTGCCTTCAGTTCTGGGTGAATCAAGTACATGATACACACTAGTAGAATATACTGTCAGACTAAAGCAAGACATGTCATCTTCCTGCTCCTTATATGAAATGTAGGCACTTTGAGCATTTTCAAGATCATTAATTAAGTTGTTGGTATAATGGAACTATTAATGATTTTTTTTTCTGTTGGCAAGATATTAGCAGTCTTATGACCAAAAGGGGTTTAATTCATATGTGGATATTTACATCACCATACACTAGGGTGAGCAAAATAATAGGTCTAAGTAAAAATAAATGCATTAAATTTTTATGGGGGTTTCAGTTAACTACATACATGCTGCAAATGGAATTCACTCTGTTATCAGTATCAAGAAAAGCTTTTTGTTTTTTCATTATCTTTGGAATCCCCTTGCATTAGGTTCATCTTTCTAATTATTTGTAACATATTTTGAGACTTTGGAAATGTGCATCAGTACTTGTATTATTCTGCCAGGGCCTCTTACTAAAACATACTGTGTTTCTGGAATCAGGTGGGTGTATGATTATGAAAAGAAATACTTTCTTGGTTTTGCTTTTTCTTCTGCTTTCATCTAGACACATTATGCAGTGCGTGATACCATTGGACTATGGACAGCTGAATCCATTGATACCCTCCGAGCAGCCATTGAATGCGAACAGCCTCAACCTGACCTCTACAAGTAAACACCACCTGGTTTCATTTTACTGCTGTCTGTTGGCTCTGCCTATCTCTGCCACCAGTATTGCAGAGAAACACCCACCACTTACCAGCCTCCTCTCATTTGTGTTTTTATGAGCTATTCCTTCCTTCTGGCAGGGAAATGAATCAGATCAGCCTTGTTCATTCTCAGCCCAAGATAAATCCTTATGGGCTCAAGCATCTCACTTTTGATTTTTCTTTTATCTTTGTTATTTGTAAACGTGGCCATCCATCAAATACTAAAATGATATTATCCCGTAAGACTGACCTACCAAACCCATGCATTAACAAGAGATAACTAAAACAAAGAAATCACTTTGTGTGTCTTCTGACATCAAAGATAGAAAAGGGTGTGGAGCCGTGAAATTAGTAGGCACTCTATCCTTTTATGTGATGATGATGATGATGATGATGAACTGCGTGTTTTAAGTAAGCTTTTTTTTTTGTCCACAGTAAACAGTTAAGTGAAGGGAGTAGTATAATGGTGAGATGTCCTCTATTGTACTACACTGAGGCTTTCTGGAGTAGATCTGGTGATGAACAGTGACTGGGTTGTCAGGAATTTAGAATTTGATTTTTAAGCTGGTCAGTTTGGTTGATTAGAGCATGGTATCAACTCAGGTAGAGTAACAGTTTTTTCCCCCAGGTATGTCAGTTACTTTCATTGTATTACGCCATTGCAGATGGCATCCATTACCTATTCCAGCCATCTCGTTAATGAATGCTAATGGTCATAATGGGTCAGATGGTTGGATGTAGCTTATGAATGTTCAGTAGTGGAGAAGCAAAATACCAGTAGTGATCCTACTACAACAACAGTGCCCTCCCTTCTACCCTGCCTTTCTTCTTCCCTCTTTCCCTTCTTCTGTATCCACTTTGCTATTAGGAACTAGGACCACAAAGCAAAACATGTTCCCTGCCTACAAAGAGCTCACAGTTTGCAAAGGAGATAAAACAGGAAAGCTAGACTTACAGTGCATTGAGGTAAGAGAGGTGAATTAAAAGGTCCATGGATTCACAGAAAAGGGACTGACTGAATTAGAGGCAAATATACATCCTTGCATAATCACAGGGCAACTCCTAAACTTCCTAGTTACCTTAAATATGAAAGAGAATTTTTTAGGTCAGGAAAGCTTATTCCTAACTCTCTAGACTAGATTGAGTGCCCTTACTATGTGACTTCAGAGTGTCTTGTACTTTCACTACTCTGGTGGTGTAATCACTTACTTTGAAATTGCCTGTTTGCCTGTCTTAGGGCAAGTAATGTCTTTCTTACTCATTAGTGTATCTCTAGCACCTAGCACAGTACTTGAACAATTAATATATGATGAATGAACTAGCAGAGCTTCGTATTTTGGAATACAGTATTAATTTTCATTTTTCTGAAAAAATATAATGCAGATTATAAACTACAACACTCTTGTTAGGCAGGGGTTAGGCCTTTTTACCCCATTCTTTCAGAAATGCAGATTACCATATGTCTAACCATATTAAGTGATTGGGTCAAGCTCAGTAATGACATCAGCTGCAAGACAGTTGGAGTTTTCCAAGATAATAATCAAGGATTCACTGTCTGAAACTAATACTGTGGTTCTCAAAGGCTTGTCCAGGCCAGCAGCATCAGCATCACTTAGGACCCAGTTGGGAATGCAAATTATCGCCTGAATCATAAAATCTTGGGTAGGGGCCCCAGAAATCTGCAGTTTAATAAGCCCTTCAGTGATTCTGATGCATGCTCAAGCGAAAGAACTACTGAACTAGATAATGGGTTTGAAAGTTGTGTTAGCACCAGAAAACTTTCTTCACGTGGATCTAAAACAGAAGCCAATTACTTATATAAAGTATAAATGAGAGGGGTGTTACGTGCATATACCATGCCAAAGAAATCTCGAGACCCAATTTAGAATATTTGTTTACATTCTTATAATATTTTAAGAAGTGGGTTAAAATGTAAAATGCCTTGCTGTTATTTCATAACTTTTTCCGAAATATAATGGACATTCATAGTTCAGAGCCTTATCTCTTTTGCATTCTTTATATTTTGATCCATTTTCATATTTGTGATATATAGATTTTACCTGGATGTAGAAAACTCATTTGCTATTGTCTTCTATTTGCAGATTTGTTGGGCGCATCAGTATCTATAGTAATAGCATTGAGGCTGTTGCGAGGTTAGTTTGCTATTCCTTTATCTGTCCTGGGGTGGGGGATGTTTCAATTCTAAGCCCATTAAAATGGTCAAATACATTTTTTAGAGAGAGAGATGTGAAGGTGAATAAATCTGGAGTAACTAGCCAGTGTCCCACTAGAGGGTCTTAAGTAAACAACCCTTTAATTGGTAGGGGGTTTTCTGTGTAGTGTGTGCGTGTGTGTGTTCTGGGAGAGGGTGGTATTAGAAGTGATGCCGAAGGTTCCCAGAATTGCAGAGCTCCGGACACTTTGATATTCCCAAATCTCTTCTAGGCACTGTTTTGTCCTTGGTTGTTCAGTGGTTTAAGGGAGTGTCATTGCAGGTATGAACAGTGGATAAAATGCTGGGAGAATTACCTAGACTTAAGTAAAATGAAAAGCTAATCATTTGTAACAAAGCAATTCATATAAAATGGGGTGGTTTTCCCCCTTTTCTGTTATCCAGTACCTCAACTTTTCCACTTGGCCTTTATCCCATACTCAAAAGGACGTAAAAGAAACGTCTGGTTGCCCAATGATCCCCCCCAAAGGCGTGTTTACTCTCCTCTCTATAAATATGTCAGCGTGTCTATTCCACCTCAACATTTACCTCCCCAGTCTTTTATCTGTCACCTCTTTCTGTGTCTTGCTGTCTGCTACTTTGTCCCATTCTGGTCTTGTTGTCTATGGCTCATAACCCTTCTGTCTCTCTGTGCATCTCTTTACGTCTGTGTGTTACTGGCTACTGCCGTGTAGTGCTTTTACCTGTGCTGTACCCCCAAGTAACTTAAGAGGGAAGGATCTTTCAGCTGGTCCTGGGGAATAAGCATGTGATATAAGTAGACAGATACATTCAGAACCCAGGACACAGATGTATGGGAAAATTATGTCTCCACAGTTGATGGTGCTATTTATTGGGTTGTTCATTTTTTTATTTAGCTGTGTTCATTTTTTGTTTAGGTCGTTGGGACCTGAAAATCTCTTGTTGAAAGGAGCTACACTGAAAAATACCGAGAAGATATATGGTGAACAATTTTTAAGATATACTTACCAGAAATACACTTTATAAAGCCTGTGCATGAAGAGTACATGTTAAAAATTGAACATAGAGACTTGCCATTGAATCTAGCTTATTTTTCGGTATCAGGAATTTATAAGATAGTAAACCAACTTGAAGGATGCCATATTATGTAGAATTAAAATTATACTCTAAATGATATATCAACTGTTGAATACAAGAGGGTTTAAAATTCCTACTTTTATAAGATGAAAAAAAGTGCATAGATCCAGAGAGGTGGGTAGTTGGTTGTAATTTAGTTCTCATTTTATTCTCTTATTTCTTAGGAGTTGCTGTTTACACAGGGATGGAAACCAAAATGGCTTTGAACTACCAAGGGAAATCTCAGAAACGCTCTGCTGTTGAAAAGTTAGTGTGCACCACAATTTCTTTAGTTGTTTTTGAACCAGGATAGTTACTTCTCAGTAATTCCCATAAGAACCATAATGAAAAAACAATATCAATTACAATAGCAGCTACCAGTTTGAGCACTTTTAATGTTACAGAAAATGTGCACAATAATTTGTGTTTCTGATTTTGTTTCATACTCTAAGCAGCTCTATGAAGTAATTCCTGTTAGCCCATTCACTTCACAGGTGAAGAAATCATCTTAGAGATAAGTGACTTACCTAAGCTCACATAGTTACACAAAGGCAGAGCTTAGTTGATATATAAATATATTCTGTTGCTTCTGGATAATGTTGTAATGTTAGTTGTTATATTTAACAACCTATGGTTGTTATATTTAAGGAGTTTCTACAACGTAAATGATAGTCTCCAGGCAAATGTTGAAGTGGAACCTGGCAGCACTTCAAGCCAGTTGACACTGGCCTGGACCTAACTATCGTTGGCATGGATACCCAGCACATCACTGACACCCTCCCCATAGCTCTACCTGCACACTAAAAGAATCTGCAGTAAGCTTCAGGATTTCACATTTGTTCTCCCACTCTGTACTCCAAATCTTTAAGATTCAGGGAAACAGACAACCTCCTCCTCCTATTAGGGTTGAGCAGGTAATGGTGTGTGTGCATGTGTGTGTCCTGTCATTTTATAGGATCCTTACTAAAGGTGTGTTAATCTAGTCAGCCATTGCACTTTGGGGAGCACTGGTCACCAACATAAAGGTCAGGCATGGCTTCTCCATTTTACCACTTGAGACTAAGACCCAGCACTGATAACCAAGGTTCATACATACATAGAGGCTTGTGCTGTGGTCACACACCATAGACAGAAAAAGCTTTAGAAAACTGAATAGTTTAATTTATACCTCGTTGATATCTTAAGTAACTAGATGGTTTTTAAACTCATAATATCTTATTTTCCAGGTCCATTAATGTCTTCTTGATTGTGTATTTATTTATCTTACTGACCAAAGCTGCAGTATGCACTACTCTCAAGTATGTTTGGCAAAGTACGCCATATAATGATGAACCTTGGTATAACCAAAAGACCCAGAAAGAGCGGGATACTTTGAAGGTAATTTGTCTTATGCTGAAATTTTTAACTATAGCACTCTCTTAACATGCCACCCTTTGTTGAAATGCTGCTCAGATAATGATGCCTTTGAGTTTTAAATAATTGGGGCAAGAAGCTGGCATGTTAATATATGAGCTTGTGGTTTATTATGCAAGAAACATAATGAATGCCAGCATATAAACTTTGTTTCTACCTTCCTGTCTTGGGGGAGGAGGAGGAGGAGGAGGGGTAGGAGGAGACAACTTAAGGAAGTAAAAAAGTATGGAGTCAAAATGTACATTTATGGAAGAATAATGACAAAATTGAGGGTATTCTCACATACTGTAATAATCATCTTGACCAATGATTTAGTTAGTGTCTTTGGGAAGTTTTGTCTTTATAGCACAAACAGTGCTTTCAGCATTGAAGTAAAAGATAGAAAGTTAACTAGTTTTTTATATTACACTTGTTTAGTGGAACTGTGCATCTAATTAGTGTGAACTATTTGTTTGTTTTAGGTTTTGAAAATGTTCACTGACTTCCTCTCATTTATGGTTCTGTTCAACTTTATCATTCCTGTTTCCATGTACGTCACAGTAGAAATGCAGAAATTCTTGGGCTCCTTCTTCATTTCATGGGATAAAGACTTTTATGATGAAGAAATTAATGAAGGAGCCCTGGTTAACACTTCAGACCTTAATGAAGAACTTGGTCAGGTTAGAACTTATTTTTACTCAAAATAAATTAACATAGTTAAAGTATCTTTTTCTTGTAGTCTGGATTACCAATATATATAACCATTTCACATTTGGGAATGTGATTCAGAGAAAAAAATGTATACAAACATGCAATGAAAGAACACAATGTTTCATAACTATAAAACATCAGTCATTTTGCTGGCATTTTTGGTAGACTTTGATTTATATATTGAATTTGAATGTTAAAGAAATTCTCTGTAAAACTCATCTGGTGATGCTGTCAGGTTATGGGTTATTGCTTTTGGAATAGGAAACATGTAGTCTTCAGCACCAACTCTAACCATCTGTGGATAGAATATGGGGTTAGTAAAAAAAGCAATTTTATAAATGCATTTTTGTTCCATAAATTAGATTGACCAGCGTTGTCCTGTTGACATTTTCTTAGTACATTTCTGGTCAGATGGAGTATGGACCTAGAAGTGGTTGTTTATTCTAGTTCAAACATTTAAATGAAGGAAAAATGTGAGGGCATGCACTCCTCAAAATGCTTTTTGCTTCCCATACCAATGTAGCCCAGGCTGTGACCTTGTTTCTGACCTGGGTGGATTCATTTTCCCCTGCAATGCAATTTAGCTGTAGTTCTTCAGGTGACAATTTCCGAGGTGCTTTTCTTATCAGTACTGAGGGAGTTTTTTTCCCTTTGTCTCAATTTACTGTGTCACGCAGTGATCTTCACAAGCTCAGGGAAGTTTTTGGCTGCATTTGGTTCTCATGATATTTAGAATGTCAGGGATGTGGAAATGTCATTCCTGTGACTGTGAGATGCAAATTCAGTTTAATGGAACTGTGTGGCTGGAACAGGGCCTCACATTTGTTTTAAATGGTGCCAATTTGCATCTACATTTCAAAACTCTCTTCCTGAATTTAGTCCCCCTCCACCCCCGCTCTCTATTTCTGTGCTTTACACAGCCTTTATATAAACTGAAGTACCCTCTTGACAGCTCCAGTCACAAGAGTGAACAAACTCTCCAGATATAATTTTGTTGAAACCTGACTTCAGGACTCCAGGATTCCGAACCATGGAGTCTGCAACCCACAGTGATACTGAGTCACTAAGGATACAACAAGAAATGAGTGAATGAATGTTTTTGCCTTAGATACAGTTCCCAAAAGATTCTTTTCTAAGTGATTTCAGCAGCAACAGCTGACTTTATAGCCTTTTTAAAGCTGGCAATTTTCACCAGGGACAGAGGTATATGAGCAAAACTACTCTAGTTCCTGTAAAAGGCATTAATTAGCAGCATTTTTGCATGAAAAACAAAAATTAAATTACAAACCACCTCTGGGGAACTTTTTCCTGACAGCTGAAAATTTTAAAAAACATTTTATCTGTTTTTAGAGAAAGGGGAAGGGAGGGAGAAAGAGAGGGAGAGAAAGATCTATGTGAAAGAGAACATTGATCATTTGCCTCTTGCACGCGCCCTGACTGGGGACCAAACCCACAAACCAGGCAAGTACCCTGACTGAAAATCGAACTGGCAGCCATTTGCAGGATGATGCCCAATGAACTGAGTCACACTGGTCCATGCCTGGCAGCTGATTCAGTTGAGCAAATTCGGTGCTTGGCTGTGTGGATTAACCTATCCAAAGATGAACATGGCTAGTGAGGCTCAGGCTACTGCAGATAAAACAGCCATCATTCCACATGCTCTGCCTAATGCCCACCAGAAACAGGCAGGATGTCCAGGCCAGGTTTCACTAGATAAGACTCTTACCTGCTCCTTTCAGATCTCCACCTCAGCAGATTCCATGTTACCTATGGGAATGTAATCCCTATCATTTAGACTGTATTCACACTGCAGAAAGTAAAGTGGAGCTTTGGGTGATGATCTGGTAAATTTGATCAGTGAAGAAACTGCCATCCTCATTTTATCCACCACTTCTTTCTCCAAACAAAACCTGCTTTCTGGATGTGATTGTCATTTACTTTATATAACCAGACCACCACCTCAATTTATGCAGTGGAAAAAAAAAAACCCAACTTGCCATTATTAATCAGCTTACACGTGTAGAAACTCCCTGAATGAAAGTGGCAAAGAAGTCTTGAAATAGTTTCTCAGATCATTTAGCTTTCAGTGGAACATTACAGACAAAATGCAATATAATCAGTTTCCTCTTTGATGAGTCATAATTTAAGATATATAGGGCGCTGTATGTTGCTAAAAGCAGTGTCAGTTAGTTTTCATCAACACCGTTGCAAACACTTGGCGTAACGTCTTTAAAAATGGACCCACATTACTATTTTTAAAAATAGGGAGATATGTTTAGGACAGGGTGTTACTTGAGAAACAAAAAGAAGTAGACTGCTCACCCAGTTCAGTTGGAAAAGGACGGCGTCCTTTACAATCAGACATCGGTCTTTTCGACAACCAAATGGTTTCAACCTATCTTGAAAAAATACCGTGGGGATAGCCTCCTTTGTCACATCCGTTCCCAGTCTTGCAGCGATGCTTAATGGTGCATCTGAGGATGTGCTCTGATGCCAACAATTCATTCCAGTAATATGTATTGAACTTTTGTGTATGTAGGATATGTTCTTGGTATTGGTGGTTATTTTTATAAAGTAAATAAGAAACCCTCAAGTTTTGCACCATTTAGTTGGAGAAATTCACATATCCTACCTAACTATAGCAATATAATCATAATAATTCAGAAAAATTAGGGAAGGTGGGATGATGCAGAGTCCAGTATGTTTAATTTTGCTTAAGTCAATAGTAATGACTGTCAGCATCTGTGTAACACATCATAGTTTACCAACATATTTATTGTCGAGCTTTATTTTGCATTCTTTACAGCCTTTTGCGGCAGGTTTAGTTACTTAAGGCTAATGTTTAAAGTTCGGAGAGATGAAGAGAATTTCCTCAAGGTCACAGAGTTAGTAGGTCCTAGAGCCACACTCCATTCTAAGTGTTCCTTTAGGTTGAACATTGTTGACCAATTTCGAACTATGAAATAGGCAATTTTATGTGTTCAGCCTTCAGTTTAGAGTCTTTCTACCTTAGAACACCTATCTCACTTTAGGTTTTCGATCCATAAAGGGATGGGTTTGAGCCTGTTGATAGAGAGGAGCCTTTTTTGGTGGTTCAGACCCACAATTAAAGAGGAAGAGGCTGTTGAGAGTCAGAGTCAAGCAGCAGTCTACCACTCTTCAGCCGTCTGTCTTCCTTTAATATGAGAATACCTACTTTTTAATAACAGCCAATCCTCTCCTCCCCCTTTCGTGAATATAAGGTGTATGTTAGAGCAGTGATTCTTTAGTACGATCTTGGAGCTAGCAGCATTAACATCCCATGATGAATTGCTAGAAATTCACATTAACCGACCCTGTCCCAGAGCTACTAAATTAAAAACTCTGGGGATAGAGCCCATCGATCTGAGTTTCAGTAAGCCCTCCAAGTAAGTGTTTGATGCTACAGTTTGATACATGCTACAGTTTGATAATTGCTATATTAGGTTGTAGTTTACTGACCTGTCCCTTTGAGATTTACTGTATGCAGAGCCGTACTGGGAAACCTATTCTATATCTGCGAATAGTTGCACTTTTTATTTTTAAAATGACCACCTTTGACACTCATAAAAGGTTTCCTAATGGGTTAATTAATGTTCACCCTAGCACGGGAACTACAACAAGCAAGGATAACCTTTAGGGGGAAAGGAAAGTTAATAATGTTGATCAGAAAAAAAGCCCCAAAGACTTTTCATTTAACTGGAAGAAATCTAACAACACAGGAATAATACCGCTTGGATTAATTTAAAGAGAGAATTCAAACTTGGCTGGCTAAGAGGTTAAGAAAAAAAAAAAGCGGAAGATTGGAATGCTATATTTGTACCAGTGCTGCTAACGTAAAAAGCTTTGAAAAATAATTAGAAAGCAACTACTTCTGGAGTTCATCTCTCTCTCCCTTACATAATAGAAACCTTAATCTTGGGCTTATGCTTTTTCCCTGTCAGCCCATAATTTTAACTATTTAAGCATAAATTGCCAAAAGGAGGAAAAAATTGTGGGTTTCCAAAAGCCAGATGTTATAAATAGAAGAGATAAAAAACTGAGATAAGATAGAAATGCTCAAAATGACTTATTTTACATGGAAAATTTACTTTGTAGCTTATTTTTTCCATTATTTATGAAAATTTGCTTCTAGTATACTTTAACCTATCATTAAAAACTCTGCTTTTTTAGTTTGGAAACTTTTCTGAGATGTATCTGAAAATATACATAGTACATGAAAAGACATTTCAATTATATTTTTGATCATTATTGATTTACTGTGTCTCTTGATCAAGTAATTTAACATTATCATCTCCCCTGTTCCATGTATATTTTGTGGCTCTTATACATGTTATATGAAACAGTATATTTTACTTCAATCCAGCATATTGATAGAATATTTTACATTATAAGGAAAAGTTTTATTATATCCCAGTTAATTTAGGTTCCGGTCAAATATATATATATATTTGGGTGGGTGGGTGTGCACACATCAAGTAAGTGGTATGTTCTTGTCCCCTTGGAAGATTGATTGTTCTTATGTAACTTCTTTATATCAAAATGAGTAAGTATTAAATTGAAGGGTTCTTTGGTAAAATAGACACATTCTTTTTTCCTATTAACCCTCTATATTTGAGAAGATCTACCTCAGACATGTGATACCGTTTTGCTGTCTTTAAAAATACTCGTTCATTTCCCATTCTTTTGATAATATTGGTTCTATAACTGCCTGGTGTTTGACAAGAAGTCTCAGAAAAGGTGTTTTCTATGAATATGGAATTTGCTATGCCTTATACCCAGCTAAAAACTAATCACACTGAACAAAGTTAAAATGTATGTTTGTGTTCTTGTTTTTAGGTGGACTATGTATTTACAGATAAAACTGGAACACTCACTGAAAACAGTATGGAGTTCATTGAATGCTGCATAGACGGGCACAAGTATAAAGGTGTAACTCAGGATACTGATGGACTTTCTCAAACTGACGGACCCTTAACATATTTTGACAAAGCAGATAAGGTGGCATTTTCTTTGTTACCATTTTACCGTCAGAAATCAATCTGTGTATGCCTGTGTTAACCCTGCAGAGTAGAAATAAAGAATTTGGGCCTCTGACATAGACTTTTGAGTAACCATTTGTTCTCTCCTTTCACCTTTCTTGTTTTACTAACACCTCTGGAATTTGTAAACAAGTATTGTAGGATTTATAAGTGGAGAGAATTATGGGAAACTGCATTTGGGTAAAACTTTCACTTCCCTATTTCTGTGATCATAATTTTTGTGCTTTGTCTTTAAAATCTGAGCTGCTCCAAAAATGATGTCTGTTCAAATCATTCAAGTCCCAGGAGTGTCTAGGCATTAAATGAACCAGAGTCTCCCTGTGCCTGTGCTACTGCCAGATTGTTAATTAGTTAATGAATGAACTCTTTTAGGCCCTGAAGAAGTCATTTCTTTGGTGTTAGCTGCAGTTACACTAACCTGAATGAGTTAACACAGCCCTTAGGGCATGTTAGCTGAGTACCAGGAATGCTGTTAGGTACTAGGAGAATATATAGCTCAATTGAGTATTAAGAATTTATACATTTCTGCTCATTCAATTTGCCAGAGGTTATAACTTTCTCTTCCATTAATATCTCTGTTCACAGACTAGTTACCATTCGATCAAAGTGAAAATAATATAGTTATTTTTTTGTTACTGTTTAACAGAATCGAGAAGAGCTCTTTCTGCGTGCCTTGTGTTTATGCCATACTGTAGAAACTAAAGCAAATGATGCTGTTGATGGAGCTACAGAATCAGCTGAATTACCCTATATGTCCTCTTCACCAGATGAAATAGCTTTGGTGAAAGGAGCTACAAAGTAAGCACTTACACTGTTGTAGATGCGTACGTTCTCCAGATCTGCTGTACAAAGCTGTACCTATAGTTCACAGTACAATATTTTAGCACTTCAAAATTTGTTAGGAGAAAGATCTCACGTTTAAGTGTTTCTACCACAAACAACAACAAAAAAAGGCGGGCGTGGGGGACAAAAAGAAACTTGGAGAGGCATCAGATATGTCTCTTACCTTGATTGTGGTGTTAGTATCACGGGTGTTTGCATGTGTCCAAAGCCATCAAATCGCACACATTAAATATGTGCAGTTCTTTGTATATCGGTTATAACTCAATAAAGTTGTTTTAAAAACCCCGAGGGAAATTGTAGAGGAATACATTAGCATTTTTGAAGAGTAAAAAAAGGCATTTCCTGTACTTGTCCTGAAAAAGTAAAATTACAGAACAGGAGTTCCCCCCCCCCCCCGCCCCGTTTGCTTCACTAACCTTATCTTGTAAGTATTCTTATTCTTTAATAAAAAGTCAGACTCCTTTATCTGAAAGTTTATGGAAAATTCCCAAACCCTAACAATTAAGAGCAAAAAGAAAATAGTAATGCATAGATATAACTTACAGTACTATTTATGCATTCTAGCCAGAAGTCTAAATGTTCATGTTATATTTTGCAAATCATAACCATGGCCACTTCTTGTATAACATGTTATTTCTAAAGTGCTCCCAGCAATTTTGACATCGTTTGGGAACAACAGTCCCATTTTACCCAAGAGGCACCAGATAATTAAGTAGCTAAAAGGTCAATGAGTGTGTTCGTTACAGAACTGAAATTATAAATTGCCTCTTTCTTGATTACAGTTTGTGACTGGGCATTGACTTTGCTCTGTGTTATCATCTCAGCCAGTAAAGTGAAATACAGTTGTAGATTGAGTTCATATGAAAGAGAAAAAAAGACCACATGTAACCCCAGTGCAAGGGAAATTAATCATGCTTTAGAGACATACAAAGGTCTTTTTTATTGCTTTTGACAGGTATGGGTTCACATTTTTAGGAACTCAGAACGGCCATATGAAAGTACAGAACCAAAGAAAAGAAATAGAAGAGTAAGTAGCACTGTGTGTGTTTGTTATGTCTTAACCCTGCAGTCAACCTTAGTTGGGTTTATAGTAAGGACGGCAAAGGAAACTGATTGCATCTGTGAGTGTAGGACTCTGCTCTCCCAGGTCAGGGTTTTATGTAAATGTAGTTGGAGGAGAAAGACATTTTTCATAGAATGGCAGAAACTGAGATTTGAGGTAGAAAGGATACCAGTTTGATTCACATATGAGTCCAGTGGCCTAAAAGAGAGTCTGCCTGGGCTTTCTTTCTGAAATCAAAATGCCATTTCAGGTCTCCAACACATGCTGCAAGAAAAATCAGTGAACATACCTGAAACCTTCTGTCCAGAACCCAGCCAATAACTGGGATTGTTTTCAAGCCTAGCCAGTCATGACAGCTTTGGTGTCAGACACTTTGTCTTGTTCTAGATGCTCAGGGTTGAGCCTCAGGACAAGTACTCTGATTTGTCAGTGTCCCCCTCCCCCACCCAGCAAACAAAGCCACCTTGGCTTAATAGCACATTTGAATTAGGCTCTGTGATTAATTTGAATTCCTTCATCTGAACTTAATTTTAATTATCTGGCTTACATTCTGGCCCACAGCTTTTCATGAGACCCATTTCACAAACCTGCTTAGGGAATATGCATCCCCTTTGGGGAGAGATGCTCAGAAGGTAGAGGAAAGCTCTTTGGCCTGACTGCCAAGAGCCCAGAATCATCATCAGTTCAGATTGTAGCCAGTTTACAGGAGTGCCCCTGTCATGGCCAACACCAAATGAAATGCTACATATAGATATCTTACACACACACATAGCCAAAATCAGTGACCTCTTCACTCCCATTGAAAACAACCTTTGTAATAAATATTTTTAGGTCAAATGCTTGTATTCACATTATTTATTTTCAAGAAAATTATTTACTCACTGTTCGTTAATAATTAACTCTTATTTTTAGCCCTTTGCATTCTTTCCTTGATTAATATAACTCAGCCATCCGCACACACATCTGATCATATCATTCCACTGTTTCAACTCTTCAGTGGATTCTTATTGCTCTTAGGATCAAATACCAATGTTCTCATTTCCTAGCCCCTGCTTGGCTCTCTTACTATTCCCCTATCAACGAGATTTCGAGCCTCAGTGAACTACTTTATATCCCCCTTCCCATGGTCCATGTGCTATCCCGCTCCTGTGCCTTTGCACATGCTCTTCCCTCTCTCAGCATGCCTGCCATGCTGCCCTTTCTTCATCATATCACTTGGAGAAAACACAGTTCAGGTACAACTATTTCCAGGAAGCCTTCCTTCAGATGTCTTTGTTCTGTGCCCCCACCTCTCCCCTGTGAGTTCCTTTAGTCACAGTATTTGGCAAACACGGAGGTACTCATCTCATGACCCTCTGACTCCCTTATCATATGGGGAGCCCTCCGAGGGATGGGACTCAGGCAGATTCCTGTCTGTTTTCCAGCACCTAGCAGTGTGCCTGACACATAGTGAGCATTCCATAGATGACAGAAATAATTGGCAGGGTGGGACAATTTCTAGTCCTCTTCAGATATGGCTTGGTGGGACATCTCTTGGTTGCCCATTCCAATGTAGTTACTCTCTCCTTATGATTTTCAGTATTATAATGAGAGGGTACAGATACCCCTGACTGACAACAGCGTCTTCTGGCAGCCTGTCGTAGCTGCTGGGAAATTTCAAAACTCCAAGGAAAATCACCAGTTGTACCCTTAACCAGCATCCCCTACCCCAGGAGGAGAGTTCTGTTCATTTAAGGTGTTTGAATATCTTAAGATGTTTCTCTACTGTTTTATTTTTCCTAGTGTGCTTCTGGGTATTTTTTACTTTTCTCTTTTTTCTTCTCATAAAGGTACGAACTTCTTCACACCTTAAACTTTGATTCTGTCCGCCGCCGTATGAGTGTCATTGTGAAGACTCAAGCAGGTCTGTATTCTTAAAATGTGATTTCTCTTTTTCCATTTTAGATTTATATGTTGACAATTTCAAGAAAGAAAACATTTCAGTAGGAGCTTATGATTACCTAACACCAGGCAAAGCAGTAGCTTTTGTACAGGCCTTAATGTATTTATGTATGTAAGTAAGCACATACGTTCAGCTTGCCAAATTGTCAGTGGCAGAACCCTTGATATGACAGGATATGCATTTTCTTGGAAACAACTTGAGTCCTCAGTCCTGGTTGTCCAAACAGGAACTGAAAGGGTGACTTTTTTGTTCTGTGTACTACTGACCAATCAACAATAATGTCTACATGCAGCAGCCCAGTACAGTTGTGGGGACTGTGGTTACTAGCCATAGAGTTCTTTTTCTTTTCTTGTTTTTAAAATATTTTATTTAATTTTGTACAGTGGAAGGGAGAAAGAGAGGGAGAGAAACATCAATGTGTGGTTGCTTCTCGCTCGCCCCCTACTGGGCACCTGGCCTACATCCCAGGCATGTGCCCTGACTGGGAATTGAGCTGGCTGCCCTTTGCTTCACAGGCAGTTGCTCAGTCCACTGAGCCACACTAGCCAGGGCAGAAGTTCTTGAGTGTAGAGAGTTGCTGGTTGTCCCTCCCTGACTTTCCTCATTCCACACTGCTTTACATTCCCTGGAAGCTGGTGAGCTAAAGATAACTAAGGCCTCGCCTAATGGCAAAGGGCATTCTAATTTTACTCCAGCACTCTGGCCTCTTTGACAGAGTAAAGAAGCTTGCCCTTTGCAAGGGAAACAGTACCATCATCCCAGACCTCCCCTGTATCTTTGGAAGGAGTCAGGGTAGTTGGTGGTTGAATTCAGCAAGACTCATAGGGAGAACCCCTGTTTCATTTGCAGGCTCTCAGAAGCCTCTGTTTCTGTGGGGGGGGGGTGGCGGGTTGTGTGTATGTGTGTCCAGGTGGTTTCTTCCAAAATAGCCTTGATTAATTTTCCAGTAATTTAATTTCTAGTATTCAATCTGTTGCATATTCCTTAATGTGAGGATGAGAAGATACAGACAGACTCTACAGGGAACACATCCAACTTTACATTATGTCAATGTGGAATTTGCTTTGTGACTTTTAAACAAATTGGATGTGTGAGAGAAAATGAAAAAAAAAAACACGTAACATTTGGAATACTGTCTGTTTTTACCTGTGCACAGCGTACATGCATTCTACTGCAAAGGGTAAGGTGTCCAGGGAAGTGGTAAGTCAAGGGCCTTGACCTCAGAGCTATGCTTTTTTTTTAACTTGCTGAATTCAGCATTTTGCCTTATAAGGATGAAGTTTCTTTCTTAATGCTCAACTGGGACTACTTTCCAGGGTGCATGGACTGATATAAATCTATACTTGTACTACCATTCTACCAAGGTATTCTCAAGTTTTGGGTAAAAACGATCAAGTCACTATTTTAAAAGCCAATCTGTGTAGTTATTTAAAGTGAGTTCTGGCTGGTGTGGCTCAGTGCATTGAATACCACCCTGCAAAGCAAAGGTTTGCCAGTTCGATCCCAGTCAGGACACATGCCTGGGTTGTGGGCCAGGTCCCTTGTAGGGAGCACACGAGAGGCAACCACACACTGATGTTTCTCTCCTTCTCTTTCTCCCTCCCTTCCCCTGTCTAAAAATAAATAAATAAATAAATAAATAAATAAATAAATAAATAAATAAATAAAGTCTTTAAAAAATAAAATTATTTGATCTTATTTGACCACATGTCAAACAAGATCCATAGATCATGATTGACAAAATTTTCAAAGATCATTCAGATGTAGCTTCTTGATACAAGCACAGTCTTTCATGATTCACTGGAAGGAAGTATATTTTAACAGAGGTGCATGTTGTAAACTATACTTGTAGAGTTACTACTTGAGTCTGTATTGGTCTCAAGAGGTGGTGAATGTTGTCCTGACAGAGAAAAGATCAAGATGTCTCATTCCATTTGGGGGAGCAATACAAGGCAGGCTTGGGATATACTCGTATAACAGCTGGGTGGGAGCATCCACTCTAATAGTTATTCTGTTATTAAAGCCCCACTACCAGTCTTAAAATTCCAAGTCAAGTACTTTGGTTCTTTATTTTAGGAGATATACTTCTCTTTTGTAAAGGAGCAGACTCAGCAATTTTCCCCAGGGTGCAAAATCATGAAATTGAGTCAACTAAAGTCCATGTGGAACGAAATGCATTGGTGAGCATATACCCCTACCCCTAAGAAGTAGAAAGAGAAATGCTGGAGATGACTATGTTTATGGGATTGCTGTTTAAATATCTGTTTACGTGAATTGTAGTGTATATTTATGGTCCATTTTTAGATTTGGGGCCTTAGTAATATTTCTTACTTTAATATAAAACATTATCCTATAGCAAGTTTCTTTTCAGAATTTGCAGCCTTGAAGACTTTTCCAGAATCTTTGTATTACGTTCTGCTTTTTATTTTTACCCCCAGAATGTAATCATTTTGTTATTTTGAGCCTAACTGAATGTTACCTTTATAGTTGTAATTTGTTCTTTTTGTTTTTAAATAAAAATGTGTCAGAATTTCTTTGTATGGTAAAGCAAATGCATTTAAAGAATGTATTTTTCTATTAATATTTGCATAACTAGAGGTCTCCTATTTTGCTTCTAGGATGGGTATCGGACACTTTGTGTAGCCTTCAAAGAAATTGCTCCAGATGATTATGAAAGAATTGACAGACAGCTCACAGAGGCAAAAATGGCCTTACAAGACAGAGAAGAAAAAATGGAAAAGATTTATGATGAAATTGAAACAAACATGAATTTAATTGGAGCCACTGCAGTGGAAGACAAGTAACTAAAAATAGCATTCTTGGTATTTGACCGGTCACTGGGGGTGGTATTTGTTCAGATTGGTAATTAGTTTCCAGTTTTGAAATCTTTATTTTGCATTATCTACACACCAATTTTTGTAAAATTTTTTTATTGATTATGCTGTTACAGTTGTTCTATTCCCCCTTTCATTCCCCTCCACCCTACCCCCCCATCCCCACCATTACCCCCCTTTAGTTTATGATCATGTGTCTCAAGTCCTTTAGATTCTGTATTTCCCATGCTATTCTTGTCCCCCCATCTATTTTCTATCTACTGTCTATGCTACTTATTTTCTGTACCTTCTCCCCCCTTCTCCTCCTCCCACTCCCCTGTTGCTAACCCTCCTTGAGATCTTCATTTCTATGTTTCCACTCCTGATCTAGCTGTCCTTTTAGTTTGCTTTTGTTTTAGGTACACACCAAATTTTGAACTGTTTGTGGAGTGGTTTTTAAGTTAAATATTTGTGGCTTAGAAGAATGAATTGGACATCTCTAAGGTCTTGTGAATATTTATGAAGCCATCCATTTATGCAGATATTTATGAAATAGTCTTATTATGCGTAGGGAGCTTTGTGCTGGAGACATCATTTAACCTGGGGTGATGCCTGGTAGAATGGGTGAAATTTTGACAGAGATAAGCAGAAAGGAAATTCAAGGTAGAGCAAATAACATGAGAGTTCATTGTAACCTTTTTCTTTAACTAATATGTTGAGCTCTGACAGACATGATTGTAGGCTTCCAGCAGTGATCTTCCTGAAAGTTTTAGACTCTTAATATTTTAGGAAATTTTTTTTTTAGAAATTATAAGTGCAAATTGTGAGACTTAACCAAACAAAAAATTACAAACATACATTCAGGCACATTGGAAGCTACTGAAATTCTAATGAAGTTCATTTAGTCTAATTTAATTTTTATTCTCTTGCCAAAGGGATCTCAAATAAAGCATCATGCTCCTTTTATGTCTGCCTTTCAGAATTATGCTTAAATTCCCTTTCAGGATGGTTGACTTTCCTAATCTTATAGCTGCTCAGGGATGGGATTCACTAACTTCCCTCAATATCTTCTTAAAACATCTTTGGCCCTTCTTGTTTTGAACCATGTTAAATATTTGTGTGCTGAGATGTAGAATATAATGTAATATGCTAATGTGACAGTGAATAAGAATGCTTGGTGAGTTTCTGAACATCTTAGCTAAGAATGATTCTTAATTCTGCCATAGGATACCAGTTATATCAAGAGATGTCATGAATTTTTCCAAACCTCACTGTTCGAAATTCACTCTAATAAGTAAAACTGTGCCAGAGAAAACACACTCAGAGCAGAGCATATATAAGAAAACCAACTGTGATAACATGCCTAGACTCTAGAAATGCTGTGAATTGCGAACATACTGTCTTTAATAAGCCTTCTTGCAGAATCCCTGTCAGGAGTATTTGAGAATAACAAGATTTCCTTTGTGCTCCCAGGCTACAAGATCAGGCAGCTGAAACCATTGAAGCTTTGCATGCAGCAGGTCTCAAAGTTTGGGTGCTTACTGGGGATAAGATGGAGACAGCCAAATCCACCTGCTACGCCTGCCGCCTTTTCCAAACCAGCACTGAACTCTTGGAACTGACCACAAAGACCATTGAAGAAAGTGAAAGGAAAGAAGATCGATTACATGAATTGTTGATAGAATATCGTAAGAAGTTGGTGCATGAATTTCCTAAAAGTTCTAGAAGCCTTAAAAAGTAAGAAAGTGCATTAGTTTCTTATATTTATTTATTTTTAAAGATTTTTATTTATTTATTTTAGAGAGGGGAAGGGAGGGAGAAAGAGGGAGAGAAACATCAATGTGTGGTTGCCTCTCACATGCCCCCTGCTGGGGACCTGGCCCATAACCCAGGCATGTGCCCTGCCTGGGAATCTAACTAGTGATCCTTCGGTTTGCAGGATGGCGCTCAAGCCAATGAGCCACACCAGCCAGGGCTAGTTTCTTTTATTTAGAATTGGTACAGAAGTAAATCACAGCTACTTATGCAGGAGGCTCCATTTTTCATCATACTGTGTTTGCAGGTGTTTTATCCTTGTAACTTAAATCTTACCCTGAGGATGTGGCCAACAGCCCCACATCCTCATTGACATTATTTGGCACTTTCTACCTCACCTTTAATTTAAAAGAAAACACTGCACCTGTCAAGGTCTAGGGGATTAGTTCAGTTTCTCAATGTTTAGGGTCTGGGTACTTAGCATTGATATTTTGGCCTGGTCCATGTTAAGGAAAAATGCTTCTTTTCACAGTCTCTTAAACTGCATGTAATACAACTGGTCTTTGTAATAGTTCCCCTGTATTTTGAGACCCTGGAGTCATTTTCTGTGTGGATTTTCATGCCCCAGAATTCCAAAGGGAACCAAATTCTTGTTAACACGGACACTTCAACTCTGCTTTCAACTAGCTACTTCAGAAGAACTTGTGGTACCTAAGAATCTCAAGGAAAGCCACTGATCCACATTAATTCAGTGATGTATTTTTCTATACATATCATTGACCAAGGCTTAGCCTCGCCTGAATCAGTTACTGGAATTTACCTTGGCCATAAACAAATTGATTTCCTCTTCAGGATTGCCACAGGATTTGCCTGCACTAAATTCAGAGACCCCACCCCCACCCCCAGATAATACTATTTTCCATTTCTTGAGCACCGCTCTTTGCTCCAGGAACAACATTATCCACTTTATATAATTATTCTCATTTAATCTTCACTACAAACCCAGTAATCTTATTTTCTTCATTTTATGGATAGGGAAACTGAGGCTCAGAGAGATGAAATGACTTAATTCAAGATCACAGTGCTATTTAATAAGGGATAGAACAAGTCCATCCAGTTCCAGAGCCCATGCTGTATCTTTAACAATGTCCGCATTCTCATCTTTCGTGTTTAAACCAACTTTAAAGATGAATAGCCCACATTTATGAGGCTACAGCCAATTCTAAAACAGCTGTTTGTTCTGGTATTAGGGTTTCAATGAGAATAAACAGGTTTTTATTAATTGCTTATGATTAATGTTTCCTTTCTCTAGCCAAAGGATACTTATAAAGGCAGTCCAAATTACATGCATTTTACTTGTCCATTTGTCTTAGTCTGCTCAGGCTACCACTGGGTAGCTTAAACAGTGGAAACTAATTTCTCACTTCTGGTGTGGGTCCCTGTTTCTAGCTTGCAGAAGGCAGCCTTCTCACTGTGTTCTCATTGCAGAGAGAGAAGCAGCTCTGGTGTCTCTTTTTCTTACAAGGGCACTGATTCTATCATAAAGGCTTCAGCCTTTAAACCTGAATATCTCCCAGAGGCTCCATCTCCAAATACCATCATCTTATTGGGGGTAAGGGCTTCAATATAGGACTTGGTAGAGGACACAGGTTAGTCCATAGCACCATTCAACCACTCTGGGGCACTTTTATAAAAGCCAGGGCTTATGGAAAACTTCACTCACCAACTCAGAACATTCCCTCTTTCCCCAGCTCACATAGGTGTCAGACCTAGAATCACCTTGTCCAGCTTCTGCTCCTTTGTCCTTTCCACTTCAGACCAGCTACCAAGCCTTATTCATGTCCCGAGTTTCACCACTAGTGCTCCATGTCAGATCTGTAGCAACTCAAGCCTCGAATCCCTCTAGCCCCTCTGCCAGCCAAATGGGCCTTGAATGTAAAGTACTGACTTTACATTCCCTTCTTGGAAACCTTTAGTGGTTCTCCATGACCCACAGAACCAGTTTGCATCTAAGGCCTCAAGTGACATTTTCAACTTGTTTTCCTGGTGCAACACAGCATACATTCTCTCCACCCCCCACCAATTTCTGCCCTGTCTTTTGAAGTTCCATTTCAGATATTACACCTGACAAAGAACCCACTGTTCTTCCTGTGTATTTATTATGCCAGTCATTGGATATTGACTACTTAATACCTTGTTTGGTTTGGTATAGTCTATTATATATGCTTCTGTCACCACAAGGACCTTTTCTGTTCTCCAAGGAAAGATTAGTTAATAATTCTTTTCATTCTTCTACATAGCCTAGGTACAGTGGATGCTTACAATATTGCTTGCTTGCATATTGAGCCACTGTTTTCTGTACATGAAGTTAGCTCTGTGGGTAGGGGAGCAAAGAAGGAGAATGCATGCTTGATAATTGCCGTAATTAGTGAAAAAATGGCCATAAAATTATGAAGGAAAATATGAAAAGTACAAAATGTATGGTGTTAGCAGTATACACCTAAGGAGTATGGACTTAAAGGGAAGATGAGGCTTATTAGGCTCTCACTACTGAAAGTTTAGTCCCAAGAACAGCAGCTCCATTATCACCAGAAGCTTGTTAGAAATACAGAATTTCATATCCCACCATAAACCTACTGAATCTGAATCTGCGAGAGTCCCAGAAACTTGAACAATACTCCTTTAAACATTAAACTTTGAGAACCATCAAGTTAGACAAATGAATCTATAATGATGAGATCAAGCTGTGTCTAATATTTTCACTGCAGTGGTTCTCAAATGGCACTCCAGATTTCCTTAACTAATATTGACTAATCGCTATTTTTTTCTTCACTGTAAAAAACAACACATTAATTGGTAGAATTTTCTCAGTTGTAAGTTTTCCCTCAAGTGTTTTTCTTAAATACTTGGCACTGGTTACATTTTTCTTTCATGGTACCTAGTACCTCTTAGTCCTGGCTGTGCATGAGAATCACCTACAGAGCTTTTTAAAGCATACCTATGTAGCCCTGGTTGGTGTGGCTCAGTGGGTTGAGCGCCGGACTGCGAACCAAAGAGTCACCAGTTCGATTTTCCAGTCAGAGCGCATGCCTAGGTTGCAGGCCAGGTCCCCAGTGGGGGGCACTTGAGAGGCACCACACATGGATGCTTCTCTCCCTCTCTTCCCCCCCCCCTTTTTCCCCCCTTCCCCTCTCTCTAAAAATAAATAAATAAAATCTTAAAAAAAAAAAGCATACCTATATGTAGTTGAGTCCTTCCCAAGATACTCTGATTTAATTTGTCTGGGGATAGACCTTAGGCATGGCCAGTTTTTTAAAGTTGCTCAAATGAATCTAATGGGAAGGCTATGGTTGAGAACCGCTAACCTAGTATAAAATGATACTTAAGGAACATATAGCACCGTATGGTCTGAACACCATATATTTTAGGTACTTTATCTTATTTGAGAAGCCAGGTAACTTGATAGTTTATGTCACTCAGGAACAAATATTAGGAAAAGGTGTTCTGTGACCATATACCCCAAAACCATTTTGTCTTTTTCTTGTATTGTTAAGGAGTTTTTTAGACTGATAAATTATTTGTCTTCATATCAGAGCTTGATCTGTAATTTCTTTTTTTTTAATTTTTTAAAGATTTTATTCATTTATTTTTAGAGGGGAAGGAGAGAAGGAGAGAAATATCAATGTATGGTTGCCTCCCGTGTGTCCCCTGCCGGGAACTGGCCTGCAACCCAGGCATGTGCCCTGACTGGGAATTGAACCACGATTGTCTGGTTCGAAGGCCTGCGCTCAATCCACTGAGCTGTACCAGCCAGGGCTTGATCTGTAATTTCCAAAATTCACCTTTAGTTTCTTTTTTAACAGACTTTTAAAAATTTTATTCATGCAAGGACATTTTTGTTGTTGTTTTCAGAGAGAGAGGAGGGAGAGAGAGAAACATCAATGCCAGACGGAAGCATCGATTGGCTGCCTTGTGAGATGAGACCAGGGATCAAACCCATAATCCCTCAGTTACAGGACAACACTCCAACCAGCTGAGTCACACCGGCCAGGGCTCACTTTCAGTTTCTTACATGGAGACTGACTGCTAGATGTTCATTATTTTTACACCTTTTAGAACCTAACATCATCAGTATAGGCAGCTTGAATATCAAACATTTGATGAAAATTCTCTGTTGTGCCATTAATTGAGACAGTTGTTTCTTTGGAATTTATAGGAAGCAGATTGATGATGGCTCTCATGTGCAGTCCTTGTCTTTGTAGTTTAAAAGAAATCAGGCTCCTAAGTAGAAATGTATAATAGATTCAAACGCAGCATTGTTTTTCTTTTTCAGAGCGTGGACAGACCATCAGGAATATGGATTGATCATCGATGGCTCCACATTGTCACTCATATTAAATGCTAGTCAAGACTCCAGTTCTAACAATTATAAAAGCATTTTCCTACAGATTAGTATGAAATGCACTGCAGTGCTCTGCTGCCGGATGGCACCATTACAGAAAGCACAGGTGACTGGATATTAGTTAATATTCCATTCTGGGGACTTCCATTACACATGTGTGCAAATGTTCACTTTCAATTTGTTTCTTCTTTTTTTTAAATATATATTTTATTGATTATGCCATTACACTTGTTCTATTCCCCCCTTCATTCCCCTCCACCCTGCACACCCCTGCACAACCCCCCCTTTAGTTTATGACCACGTGTCTCAAGTTCTTTAGATTCTATATTTCCTATACTATTCTTCCCCTCCCCCTATTTATTTTCTACCTACCATCTGTGCTACTTATTTTCTGTACCTTCTCCCCCCTTCTCCTCCTCCCACTCCCCTGTTACTAACCCTCCATGAGATCTTCATTTCTATGGTTCTGCTCCTGATCTAGCTGTCCTCTTAGTTTGCTTTTGTTTTAGGTTTGGTTGTTAAAACTGTGAGTTTGCTGTCCTTTCACTGTTCATCTTTTTTATCTTCTTTTTTTTAAGTAAGTCCCTTTAGCATTTCCTATCATAAGGGCTTGGTGATGATGAATTCCTTGAATTTGATCTTATCTGAGAAGCACTTTATCTGTCCTTCCATTCTAAATGAAAGTTCTGCTGGACAGAGCAATCTTGGATGTAGGTCTTTGGATTTCATGACTTGGAATACCTCTTTCCAACCCCTTCTTGCCTGTAAGGTCTCTTTTGAGAAATGAGCTGACGGTCTGATGGGAACTCCTTTGTAGGTGACTGTCCCCTTAGCTCTTGCTGCTCCTAGGATTCTCTCCTTCGTTTTAATATTGGCTAATGTAATGATGATGTGCCTTGGTGTGTTGCTTCTTGGGTCCAACTTCTTTGGGACTCTCTGAGCTTCCTGGATTTCCTGGAAGTCTATTTCCTTTGCCAGATTGGGGAAATCCTCCTTTATTATTTGTTCAAATAAGTTTTCTACTCGTGGCTGTTCCTCTTCCCCTTCTGGTACCCCTATAATTCAGATGTTGGAGCGTTTAAAGATGTCCTGGAGGTTCCTAAGCCTGTCCTCATTTTTTCAAATTCTTGTTTCTTTATATTTTTCTGTTTGGTCATTTTTTTCTTCCTTCTGGTCCACTCCCTTGATTTGAGTCCCAGTTTCCTTTCAATCATTATTGGTTTTCTGTGCATTTCCCTTCATTTCAATTAGTTTAGCCTTCATATGTTCCTCTAATTTGTGACTAAAACCAACCAGTGCTGTGAGCATCCTGATCACCAGTGTTTTGAACTGTGCATCTGAAAATTTGGCTATTTCTTCGTTGCTTAGAGTTATGGGCTCTGGGGCTTTGAGTTCTTCTTGAGCCATGTTTTGGTCTGTTCCCACCTGTTACAGATGAGGGGCGGAGCCTTAGTTCACCAGGGCGGGGCCACCCAGGTTGCTGGTTTGTGATACTGTATATGGGGGTGGGGCTAAAGGGGGGCAATAGTGGTCCCTGCTGCTGCTTCCCACCGCTGGGGCCTGCACGGTCTGTCTCACTGCTTGCTCCTTTGCTGTTTTATCTGCGCACAAATGTGTGACCCTGGTCAGCCCTCAGTGGGTTCGCCCGCTGCTACTCCACACCTGGGATTCGCCCACGGCTGCCTGCTGGCCTGGCTGGGTCGAGCGCCTGGGTCAATCTGGTGGGTCTTTCCTGCCAGACCCCACGTCGCTGCTGGCTCCACCCCTCTTACCGGTCTGGCCGAACAGTTCGTTGTTGTCAGACTTCCGTATAGTTCAATTTTCTGTGGTTTGGCTGCGTTTTTGTTGCTAAAACTTTGTTGTTTTTAAATTTGGTTGTGCAAGGAGGCATAATGTTTCCACCTACACCTCCATCTTGGCTGAATTCCCAATTTGTTTCTTCTTTAAAGAGCCATTCTTACCTTATTACATCTTCCCTGGCATCATCCTCTTTGTGGTCAAAGTCAGGAGTCTTCACACCAATTTAAATTAAACCTATGCTTCACTCGTTGTTCCCTCCAGCTGGCTGTCCAGTTCCTCACCTTCCAAGCTTCTCTAATGAGTATTTGTGTCTGCTGCCTCCCCTAGCCCCGTCCATTTTCTCTTCTCATCTTACTCTGTTGGATCACCTGGAGGACAGCAGTGAGCTCCTTGCCGAATCCATCATGCTGTCTTCCATTCCCCTGTCCAATTCTCCACTGCAGGTGACACTCTCAATTACATCCTCCTTAAAACTCGCCATTCTCTATTTCTGTGATGGTCCCCAGTCCTGACTTTTTCCCCCTACTTGGCAATCTAGTGTCTTTTTATTTGGTTTCATCCTCTGTCTTCTCCCTAATTACCAGTTTTCTCTAGTCTTGATTTTTTTCTTTTCATTAAGTCTCATATTTCTGGGTGCCTATAGACAGTTCCATATGGATTCCCCTGTGCCACATTAAATTCTAGCATTCTAAATGGATCCTACAAGTTTTGTCCTTCAGGCTAGTTTGTTTCGTGTCTTCATTATTTCTGTTACCAGTGCCATTTTTCTTTTGCTTTCTAAGTCTTCAATGCTTCTGGTCCTGCTCTTGTTTTAAGAGTTTGTTTGTTTATTTATTTATTTAGAGAGAGGGGAAGGGAAGGAGACAGAGAGAGAAACATCAATGTGTGGTTGCCTTTCACATGTCCCCCACTGGGGACCCAGCCCACAACCCAGGCATGTGCCCTGACTGGGAATCGAACCGGCAACCCTTTGCTTCATAGGCCTACACTTACTGAGTTACACCAGCCAAAGCTGATCCTGCTCTTCTTCACTTCATATATAGTCACCATGTCCTATTGGTTCTACCTTTTGTCATAACTGTCATTCTGGTGCCATCTTTTAAAACCTCTTACCTCCAGCCCAGTCCAAGCCCTTATGACTTTACCCAGAGACTGATTTGGTTTCCTTGCTTTCACAATTTCCCTTTTAATCTCTTTCCCCACACTCTCAAATTAATCTTGTTAAAACACTCCTTCTCTCATCATATATTCTTGCTCAAACACTAGGAAACTACTGCTCAAAAATAGTAGTTTCCTAGTCCCTCAGGATGAAGGGCAGATGACTCAGTGTGGCACTGAGGGTTCACCCTGTTGGCCCTAAATGTGTGCCTGCATACTTTGTGTCCACCGTAATTCCCGTGTCCCATGTGAATTGTCGCCCCTTTGTGTCCTTCCCACATGCCAACCTCCAAGCTTTTCTCACATCATTTCCTCATCCGGAATTCTCTTGGAATTCCCCTTGGCCTAATAATCACCATATTTTTTGGACCATAAGATGCACCTAGGTTTTGGAGAAGGAAAATGGGGGAAAATTTTTGAAGCAAAAAATGTAGTAAAATATTTACTAACATAAATAACATAATATTTTACCAATGTAAATGTAAACAGAACTCAACAGCAGCATTAACAACCATTATTCCTCCCAAATGGGGGGGTGCTTTTTATAGTCCAAAAAATACGGTATACTCATAATAAAACCCAATTCAAGGGCTACTTGAATATGCTGTCTCTTTCAGCTCCTCCAGCCCGCATTGATCTGCTTCACCTTGCTTCCTTGTACTCACTGGGTCCAAGGAACTTTAGAGCCTCAGTTACACACTTTTTCAGTGCTGTCTACACTATGGTGTATTCTTTCATATGTATTAGTCTTGCTTCTTCAGATTCTTTAACTGCTTGCTCTACACCCATGGCATGACTGTGTTTTTGGATTCTCCTTTATATATAAATCACATCACCCCCTGCCTCACACTTTCGTGCACGTGTTTGCGCACACACAAACACAGCCCATCCTAATTTAGGGCATTGTCACTGTCTACTTTCTTCTCACTCTCAATCCCCACCACAGTCAGCTGCTCTTCTTTTTTGTTCAACCTTGAGAACCCTGGTTAGCATCAGCTGGGGAAGCACATCCTACCAGAACAGGACCCATAGAAATTTCACCCTTTAGTCAGAGGCAATATCCCTCCCCTCCCAATCATTGTTCAAGTTGCTCACCTGGATTTTAACTACTCCACTGCTCAGGCTAGTTTCTGAAGTTCTGACCCAGTGCTGCTTCTCCCACCCAGAATGCGGGGCCCCTTGTGCTGCGGTCCTCAGTCTGTTTTATTTCTATCACTACAGCCTCTTCTGGGCTATCACTTACTCTTCTGTCATGGCCATATAGGTGATTTTCAGGTCACTTCTACAATTTTAAATCTTTGGGTTTCTGCTTTACCTCTGTAGCTTCTTAACTGAACATGTCTTCTTGGGTATGTCATTATCACCTCAACTCAGCCTTCTCTGGAGCCCAACTGTCATTTTCCTTATCTTTTTCTACATCTGTTACTGAGTGCACTGTACATCTGGGTTTCTAGATTCAAAACCTTAAAATCCTTGTTGACTTCCCCCATGCTTTACCCTACCACATGATCTCAGTCACTGAATTCTGTTTTCTATACATCTTTTGTCTTTTCCATCCATTATTTCCCAGTCCAGGCCTTTAACAACTAATTGAACTGCACCTATAACTAGCCACCTAACTTCTCTTTGCCTGCTGTCTTGCTTTTTCTTCCATTCCTCTTGCACCCTGCTTCCTGTCACTTTCAGAATATCACTTTCCGTTGATCTGGCCCCAGGTATACCTGTCCATTCCCACTATATGAAAACTCATTGATCTGTTCAAGCCAGCTCTATTTTCTGAGTGTATGCTGTACTTATCTAGCTGTATGTCTTAGAACATGGCATTTTTTTTAAATCTGAAATACTCCTCCAACCCCCTTTTTCCCATCCATGTAAACCTTAACAGTCTTTTATGATTTAGATTAGGGGTGTCAGACTCATTTTCACCGGGGGCCACATCAGCCCCACAGTCACCTTCAGAGAGCCGAATATATAATTCTAGGACTGTATAAATGTAACTACTCCTTAACTAGGGGCAAGGAGCTCGGCACTACCACTGGGTAGAAGTAAGGTGGAGGGCCGTCTTCGGCACGTGGGCCTTGTGTTTGCCACTTGAGATTTAGATCAAAATACTCCTCTATAAAATCATTTTTGATTACTGTGGCATATAGTGTCTTCTTCCTTCTCTGAGATCATAGACCTTCTTATATGGATGACTTAGATGACACTGTTATATATTCCCATGCACAGATTATTGTGTATTGTTATTTTGTATTGTTAATTAAATTATCTAATATTCTTGTATTCATTCCCTATCTCTACTACATCATCATATGCTTTTTAAGGTGTGTGACCAAGCCTTGTATCTTTTTTGGTATTTTGTACATTGTTTTGCACATTTAGTTACATGCAGTTATAGTTGATCAATAAACAGCTTTTGGTATATTGATTTCTTTTTCATGAAGCTATCCTAGAGATTGAAGAGAAATTCTTAATCCAGGTGACCTGGGGCTCAGTTTAAAAAAAAATGTTTATCTCTCTAAATTTTTCATTATTTTATAGTCCATGATCATATAGCCTTTTATCTTTCTGTGAGGACAAGCTTTAATCTTTTTAATCTATATTTTTATGCAGAAGCTGTCACCCTTGATAATTTCTATTGTCTTTCCCAGACCTTGCCTGGCTGCAGTTTTTCTTCCTTGAGGTACAAGTTATTACTGCACATAGTATAACAAGTACAATTAGTTTAACTAGTATTGTAGCCAATAAAAAAACAATTTAGTTCGCGTTCCCTAATTTTGTCAAAGGCTCACAGATTATTTCTGACAGTCTTACAAAGTTTTGTAAAAGAATCCAGATGAGAGGAGGGATTGGAGGAAAGCTGGCATTTCACAGTACCATCATTTTTGTGTTCAATTTGATTGCCTGTGGCTTTGGGGGTATGCTATTTAATACTAAATAAAACCTAACTGAATTTTGTTTAAAGAAAAGACTAGGGGGTGGTTTAGCCTTGTGTACATTATTTTTAATCACTTCAGTTGTGTTTAAAATGGATTTTGTTTATGTTAACTGGTAAAAGCAATGGTGAGGCCAGAAATTTTACAAGGCATTATTTAACTACTGGATTATATAAGCTTTTAAAAGCTGCTAGGTTCCCAGGGATTTTGAGGGTTGATACATAGAGCAGTCATTATCTAAAACATAGAGTAGGAGGACAGCTGCTTACCCAATACACTTCCCACAAGTAACTCCACCAGAAGATTTATTTTATTCAGTACCTACCATGAACACAACATGCAGCTACACTGTGTCAGCACCTCGAAGAGACACCCAAGGAACAGTGACAGGCTTTTTACACATACATATCTCAGCTACTTTCTGCAAATCTCACCACCTTTAAGATGACCTCTTTTCAAAAGTAGCTACTTATATGAGAGGCGAAGTAATACTGGGCAGTGGGGGGATGTAGTTGCCAGCTACATGAATGCAATAATTTAATGTTAGATAAGTCCCTGGGAATAAGGTGTGCAGGGCACCAATGGGGAGTGGGAGTGTCAGCAGGGAGGAGAGAGGGAGAGGATCCCCAAAACACTGTTCTGTCACTTCCCACTTTTGTTCCACCAGCCCTATGCATGGTGGCCCAAATCAGCTTTCTGGTCTCCACTGTCACACCTTCAACACCTAATCTCAAAGGACACATGAAGCAATGAAAGAGAGGGAAACACATTGGCCTTTAATATAGGTAAGAGGCAGGGGTTTTTGATAGTTTGTACATTCACAGAGCCAGAAGCAAGTGGGTACTGGTATTGTATTTGGAAAAGCTGTGTTCTGCCTCTGAGAATTCAAGACTGTTGTACATACATGCATAAACTTCTTTTCTGTTTGCGAGCCCTCCCTTTACAAGTATGAATGAGGCATCTACTCCTAATGTACAATCTCACATTTGACTTTGACCTTTTCTGTACCTCTTTTGTATTTAATGTTTAGATTGTCAGAATGGTGAAGAATTTAAAAGGCAGCCCAATAACACTGTCAATAGGTGATGGTGCCAATGATGTTAGTATGATCTTGGAATCCCATGTGGGAATAGGTAAGAAACATCTAATGAGATGGCAGCTGTAAGGTATCAGTATTGCTTTTAGGTGGTGTGATGTTATATTCTAGAGAGATTGTTTTGGTCACTCATCCTGAATTCTAATTTGGGAATGATAACCACTAATTGAATTACTGTTCTCATATGATCATGTAACGTATACATCCCAAAGACCGACCTACCCATGGGGGGAATATAGCAATACAAAGGTGAGGATTGTTTTACATGAGCCATGTAAAGTGAATTTCCCAAACCTGCTGGCAGCACAATTGATCATTTAGCTCTCACTAGGACCGCATGCATGAAACTGTATTGTTTTTCTGTTCCTGGCCAGATCTCCTGCTTATGTTGCAGCACTATATCTTTATAGAGAGATTCTTAACTGTTTGGTACTAAGAAGTGATCATTGCTTGGCTGATTTTCCACATGGTGATATTTATGGGTGGTTTGGGCTGTAGTGTTGAATTAATATGTTGGCACATAACAACAGCTTCTGCACAACTTGTCCCATTCCCCACCCATCTCCTGGTCAGACTGCTGGTAGGCAGCTATCCTAATATGCCAGCAAGCCTGTTTGTTTTTGAAGGGGGAGAAATAATGGAATTACTATCTTCTGAATTACTGTACTGCAGTTTGGATTCCCAAATGCCCCAATTCTTCTCATTTAGAAGTAACCCTATGTTGTGTGGAACTCTTCGTTCTACTCATGGGTTATCCAGTGAGGCAGTGGCCTAAAGCCTCTTGAGCTCATAGAAACTTGGGCTGCTACTGGGAGTTTCCTTCAGTGAAAGAACTTCACCATCTAATTGTAATGTTTCAGTTTTGAGTTCCTAGACCACAGACCCCAGTCTCTGGGTTGCTTTAATATTGTACCCAGGCTTGTATCATAACACAATTAAACACTAAGTGGCCTTAAACTAATTTCCCCATTTATTTTTTTCTCAAGATAATTTTTGCCTTGTAATGATTAAAATAATGATTCTATTTAGTTGTATATTGTGTTAGAAATAGGCAATTACCAGTTAAACTTTGTTGTACCATTTATTGCTGTCTCATTGTCATTGTTAAAGAAAGCACTATTTGCTTTAAAAAAAACTAAGCTAAAGTACATTTGAACTGGAACATGTAAGCAAGTTAAAAATATGAAAATAGCAAGTCTGTGTCTTTCTTATTCAATAAAATACTCACCCTGTAGAGATTTTCTTTTTTTAGGTATTAAAGGCAAAGAAGGTCGCCAAGCAGCCAGGAATAGCGATTATTCTGTTCCAAAGTTTAAACATTTAAAGAAACTGCTATTGGCTCATGGACATCTATATTATGTGAGAATAGCACACCTTGTACAGTATTTCTTCTATAAGGTATGTGATCAGATATTTGCAATTTAATTTAAGACTACTTAATCCAGTATGGGCTCAGCTTAGTCATAGTGTTTTTTCTCCTTTTCTCATGTTCCTTTTGCTGTCATCATACTGAAGTGTGTGGTCATTAAAACATCTGTCTATGGAATTGGAAGCTAGAAATTCCTTTTAATACAAGAGATTTGAGATGAAATTTTAAGTCAGCTTTCTTGAAATACAGTTGAAGTACAATCAAATGTACCCATTAAAAGTGTACAGTTCTGCCCTTGGCCAGTGTGGCTCAGTTGGTTGGAGTGTTGGCCTGACAACTGAAAAACGGAAAGGTTGAGGGCTTGATTCTGATCTGGTCACATACCTAGGTTGTGGGTTCAATCCCCCCCTACCCCATTGCCCCAGCCAATGTGGGATGCATATGGGAAGCAAATGATCAATGTTTCTCTCTCTCTCTCAGCAATGGAAAAATGTCCTCAGGTGAGGATAAAACTGTATATACAGTTCCATTTTGACAAATGTATACACATTCATGTAACTATCATCCCAATTAAAAGTAGACCATTTCCATCATCCCGGAAAGTTCTCATGTACTCCTTCCCATTCTCCTCCACCCCTGACCCAAATAATAACTAATCTGACTTATATTAACATATGTAGTATTGTAATATATAGCATATAGTATATAAACTTAGATATAATTTATGCAATAACTGTATTAGATATGCCTGTTTGAGTACTAAATAGAATCGTAGGTACTCTTTTGTGTCTGGCCTGTTTCATTTAGCATGTTTTTCAGTTTCATCCATATTGTATCATCTATCAGTAGTTGGTTCCCTTTTTATTCTGAACACTATTCTAAACTACTCTTTTTAGTATTCTCTTTTCAGATGAAATGATACAGGTAACAGCAGATAGAAGCAGGGTTGCATTGACTGAAAGGTGATGGGGCCAGAGCTGTGTACTTGCTCAACTTCCCTGTCTTGCCCAGGGGTTCCTTAGAGCACAATTTGGTATCTATGAATATAATTGAAGCCGCTCATTTTACACATAATGAACATGTCATACACGAAGGTGAAGTAACTAGCCGAACCTGTGCACATCATTTTTAGCCATGATAGCCCAGAAAAGTGCTCTCCTGTCCTTTATTATGTTCAGCATAGTTTTTTAAAGACTTTTTACTTTCCACTTTAAAATCATTTCTGACTTCAAGGAAGTGGCAAAATTACTGGAAATAATTCTTATATATTCTTTGCCCAGTTTTACCACCTGTTAACACCTTAGATAACCCACAACATAGTTATCAAGATTAGTAGTTGATATCAATTGGCACATTATTAATTAGCCTACATACCAGATTGGAATTTTCCCAGTGGTTTATAGAATCTCTTGTCAGTTTGAGTTTGCCTAATGTTTACTTCCTGTTAGATTCTGGCTATGCATTTTTGGCACATGGGGTCAATATGTCTCATTCCTGACAATGTGACTTTGATAACTTGATTGAAATGGTGTTTTCAAGACCTTACAACTTAGTTCTGTGTAATTTCATTTAAAAAGAGCATTCTAGTGGTTACCAGAGGCTAGGAGAAGGGGAAATAGGGAGATGTTATGTAAGGGTAGAGATTTGCCACCGAAAGATAAGTTCTTCAGATTTATGTACAGTATGGTGATTCTTTTTAATTATATTGTACTATATACTTCAAAGTTGCTAAGACTCTAGATCTTCAATGTTGATAATTGTATGACAGAGGTATTAGCTAACATTGTGCTAGTAATGAGTTGCAATATAAAAATGTATCAAACTAACATGTACACCTTAAACTTACACAGAGTTGTATGTCAATTATATGTTAATTTAAAGAAAAAAACCAAAAGCCAAGGTCACATATCCCCAAGTCCTGAAAACAGGCAGTTAGTGATGGAAGGAGACTTGACATGGGGAGGTGAACACACAATACACTATACCGATGATATATTATAGAACTGTACTCCTGAAACCTATATAATCTTATTAACCAATGTCAATCCAATGAATTCAATTTTAAAAAACAAAAGAGGCAGTTAGCCTTAGAAGTGAAACACACACACACACACACACACACACACACACACACGAGTGGCTCAACTCTGAAGCCCTTCCTGACTCTGCTGAGTGCATTTAACCACTCCCTTCTGAGACATATATGATGCCTTTCTTTGTATATTTGCATCTGTTCCTTCTACTGGATCATAAAGCCTGTGATCTTGTGAAGTGCTGAGAGAGCATTCTGCTACTAAAACATATTTTTTTTCTGAGTTAAAATCCATTACTATTGTTATTCTGTTACTCATATTGTTATACATTTGGCCCCTGTGTCCTTTCAGCATATCTCCATCATTTTTTTTAGATTTTATTTATTTATCTTTAGAGGGGAAGGGAAGGAGGGAAGGAGAGAGGGAGAGAATACCAATGTATGGTTGCCTCTCGTGGGTCCCCCGCTGGGAACTGGCCTGCAACCCAGGCATGTGCCCTGACTAGGAATCGAACCGCCATCCTCTGGTTCACAGGCCTGTGCTCAAATCCACTGAGCTACACCAGCCAGGGCCCATATCTCCATCATTTTTAACTTTTTATTTTGTTGTGATAAGCGCTCTCTACCTACTGAACAGATTTTGAAGTATACAATACAGTATTGTTAGCTACAGGCACAGTATTGTGCAGCAGAACTCTATAACTTGCTCATCTTGCATAATTAAAACTTTACACCCATTGAGTAGCAACTCCCCACTACTCCCTACCCCCAACTTCAACCTTCATTGAAGACTTCCTTTTTTCTGGTACCACATGATGTTTTAGGCTTCTCTTGTAATTTTTCCTGCTCCCACCCTAGATTTGAACATTTCTTCAAAGAATACTAGTTTCTTTTATTTGTAAATGGTATTTAGAAATCAAGTCCTGGCTGGCATGGCTCAGTTGGAGCATTGTCCTGTACACAAAAGGTTGGGGGTTTGATTCCTGGTTAGGGCACATACCCAGGTTGCAGGTTTGATTCCCTGTCATTGCACATATGGGAGGCAACCAATTGATGTTTGGTGTTTTTTTTTTTTTTGCACTGATGTCTCTCTGTGTCTCTCTCCCTCACTCCCTCCTTCCCTTTGTCTCCCTCTCTCTTCCTGCCTCCTCACTCTCTCTCTCTCTCTCTCAAGCCAATAAACATTTTTTAAATAAAAAAATCAAGATCTGGGTGCTAAATGTACTCAATGCTGCTGAGCTGGCTTTGGTTCTAGGTCTTCTCAGTGGACAGAACTGGGAAATATGTATAGGTGTTGGAGTTGGAAGCCAAGGTATCAGTATAAATCCAGTATGTGAATTCAGTTTATACTGATATCGTTGATGCCAGCCAACACCACAAGCTTCATTCTAACTCTTCCCTTTTCCTTATTTGTGACTCCTTTCTCCAGTGATGAGAAACCTGGTTCTCATTACCCTCAATATGTTTACTTATTTACTCAATCCTGGAGTACATTCAAAGTAATTTCAAAATTGCTAACTCACTCTTGGGACAAACAAACTCACTGACTTGAGTAATATGTCCGTGTTCACTTCTGTTTGTCTTTAGCCTTGGAGTGTATAGTCAAATACTATTTTCACAGTTACTCCCCCCCCCCTTTTCTACCATTTCAGTGTGGTTGTGTTTTTTATTTGTAATATATTCAGGTTAAGTTTTTATTTGTGTTCCCTTTGGGTCCTTTCTCGCTAATCTTGCCTGATTTTGATTTTTTGATTACGTGAAACGCATGGTTCTCCTCAAGATGAGGTTCTCTGAGGATGTTCCTTAGTGAGTTAATTCTCTAAATAAAAGAATTATACAGGTGTCTTTTCTCAAATATTTTTATATATAAGTTGTTTTCTAAAATGAAATTGTCGAAGTTCTCTGTGCATGCATACCAATAGAGAGAGCAAAGGTGACATTGTGTGACTTGTTCTTTCGTCTATACAAATTAATGTACATATACATCATTTTTGTACACGATATATACTGAGTTTTTCACTTTTTATTGAGATATGATTCAAAGAATAAAACTCACTGTAGTGTAAAGTACAGTGGCTTTTAGTGTATTCACTGTGACTTGCAGCCATCACCACTAATTCCAGGACATTTCTATCACTCCAATAAGAAACCCCAAACCTATTAGCAGTCAGCCCCAAAGCACACTGTTTTGCACTTTGCCCTTTTAATTTAATATATTGTGAGCATTTTTTACCACATTAAATATTGATCTAAAACACAGCTATTGTGTAGTATCCCAATCCCTCATGTTTGGAAACTGAGGTAGATTCCCTGACAACACCTTGCTTTTCATTTAGCGCCAACAGAGTACGTTAAACTGAGCCTGCATACTTATTTTTGTCTACCAGAGAGTACAGTTTACCAAAGATCTTAATTAGATTCCAATTTATAGGTATATTGTCAAGTTAATGTGCCAGTTTTCAATGATTCAAGCAGTTAGGGTGTTTTTTCCCCAGATTTTATAGGAGGGAAAGCTCAGCAACTGCTTTTATGTGTCAGTTTTCTGTGATGAAACCCAGGTCTTATTAACTTTATATTTTCCAAAAAATATGTAACCTTGACCTCAGGTTTACATATTTGCTAAGACCCTGTCAACCATTATCAACTGGGATCCAGGCCAAATATGATGGTGATCAATAATGATAATTAACCCAGTGTGTGTAATGTAATTCACTGGTTGACAAAAGTATTTTCTTATTTAATTCTCACAAGTATTTTATGAGTCAGTTAGTGTTATTTCCACTTCAAATATGTAGAATCTAGGGCTCAGAGACCTTACATAACTTGCCTTTGGAGCCAGCTAGGAGGTGACAGAACAAGATTTCCACAGTAGCTGTACTTTAATTCCAGGACTCTGAACATCATAATTATGGGCTATCAGGCCTTAGACTCAGTAACCTAACAGCCCTGCATGGAGATGGGTTGTTATTCCCTCTTACCTCCCCTCAGTAGGAGCGCCCATGAAGATTTGCCATCGAGATCTGCCAACCATCTGATCCCTAATTCTAGAGGCTTGGTTTGCCTCTCTTTAGATTTTGACCTGCAATTCATTCAATTGCCACCAGATGGAAGGAATAATCTGTTAAGGAAAACAAAACAAGCATTCAAATGGCTAATGTTTACTAGCCTAGTCAATAATTGAGGGTTTCCCAATGGAGGGGATTGTTTATGTAGGTGGCGCACTTGTCTTCATAGGATCTCTGTGCCCGTTATCTCTTAGTTACTGACTTAGCGGTAATTCCTCTTTTAGTGCTGCACTTTGTCCCAAGATGATTTCTAATATTTTTGACCCTCTTGTGCTGATCTAAGAAGCCTTTCTGCATCTTCAGTTTGCCATTGCCTCACCCCTGAAGTACTTCAGTGGCAGGTCTTGCTTTTCTGTTTCTCCATGCAATCTACTTTGCATAATTCAGCCAGGTTAACGTTTGGAAAATGGCACTTTTCAAAAACAACAAACCACTTTTCAACTGTATTCCAGAAACTCTGTTCTCCATTGTCTAGGATTGGTCTGGCTTTCAAGGTAACCCGTAGTCTCTCCCTGTCTTACCTTATCTGTTTAAAAAATATATGACGCCTTACCTAGGTTTCTGCTGTCAACATATCAGATTCATCTTTAGCACCTAATTCAACTGTTAACTTCTCTATTAAATCAACAATTATGTTTGAATGTGTTACCAGGTGCCAAGCACTGTTTTAGGCCCTGAAAATCCATAATGAAATAAGATAGGCAAAGGCCTTGTTCTCATGGAAATTACATTCTAGTGGGAGGGTCAGACCACTCCTTCCCACAAAGCACCCCCATAACCCCCAGCAAGCACTGCCTCCTCCAGCATCAGAACTTTTAAAAAAATAAAGTATGACTCTAGAAATGCTACCTATGATAGTTTGCATTCTGCTAGAACTGATGCATACAATTGAATGTTGCCCTTCCAGATGATGAGCTCTTTGGAGCTATGACACATATTCTGATGCCTTAGGAAGGGGTGTCAAACTCATTTTCATAGGGGGCCACATCAGCCACGCGGTTGTCTTCAAAGGGCCGGATATAATTTTAGGACTGTGTAAATGTAACTACCCCTTACCTAGGGGCAAGGAGCTCAGCGCTGCCACCAGGTAGAAACAAGGTGCCAGGCCAAATAAAACGAGGTGGAGGGCTGCATTTGGCCCACGAGCCTTGTGTTTTACACCTGTGCTGTAGGGGTTACTCAAAACATGGGTAGCACTTTTCTTTTGGGACATCCTCTAGAGCCTGTAATATTTCACCTAAGTATTCTCAGCCTGGAAGATGTGCATCCTTTGAGGATGCACTGGTTTTTTTTAAAACAGCCTTAAGTCTCCCAGCCTGGGAAATTACCTACATGAGAATGTGTGACAGAAAGAAGGAGACTGGTTTTTTGACATGGCTCAAAAATGGGCTTTTAGAAGCACTTCCCAAAGACAAATCCACAGACAACATGAGCAGGGGACAAGCAACACTCAAACAAGGTCACAGCCTGCCCCGAGGAATAGTACTCATTTGAAAATATTAGTTCTGATAGTTTGGCCTGAAGACATTAATTTCAATATTTAGAATCACACCTAGTAAACTTAATGTCTTGTGAATTCTCTGCTTGTGCTTTTTAAATCTGTTTTCAGTATTCTCCCAATTAAATTGTAAGTCACTTAGGAATAAGAAGTTTCATTTTGTTTTTGTATTACCCACAGTGACATCTTTGCATTGAATAAATAACCAGTATTAATATGTTGTTTGATGAGGCAGTGATAACAGCAGTAAAGCATTAGTTGATAGTGTTAGTGTCAACATACACTCTACTAATTTCCTAGCTCTTTAATGGCATCAATTGACTTAAAATATGGGCTGGGCAAAAGCAGGTTTACAGTTATGAGTAAAAACACAGAGTTAATAAAGTTGTAATAATCATAACCTACATGTCTTTTTTTAAAGATTTTATTTATTTATCTTTAGAGGGGAAGGAAAGGAGAGAGGGAGAGAGAGAAACATCAATGTATGGTTGCCTTTCGTGCATCCCCTGCTGGGAACTGGCCTGCAGGGAACCTGCCTGCAACCCAGGAATGCGCCCTGACTGGGAATCGAACCATGATTGTCTGGTTCGCAGGCCCACGCTCAATCCACTGAGCTACCTGCATGTCTTTTTCCCTATGAACAACTGTAAACTTAATTTTGCCCTCCCCTGCACATACTTACAGCTTTATGTCATTTCTACTTTATAATGATTTTGCAGATCTAATTGGCTTTTAAAAGCCAGTACCATTAGAGACTTGTGTTGTATGGTCACATTTCTTCCCCAGACAAAGAATAACAAGAGGTTTTCATAAAGTAAGATCTTTTCTGCCTTGGTAGGGCAAAAGTTGGTATCAATATGAGTCATTTGTTTTCCAGTTATTTCCTTACAACTTGAGAATAGAGACTGAATGCATTCTGATATTAGAAGGGCTTAGGACTGACTTTAAAGTATTTGGAGTAGTTTCCTGTTTTAGTTCAGAAACTTAAGTGAAAACATTAACCCTTTTCTTCATATTTTTTTCCAGAACCTTTGTTTCATTTTGCCACAATTTTTGTACCAGTTCTTCTGTGGATTCTCACAACAGGTTTGTTTCCCTAGTTATTTGTTATAATGTAGTTTACATTTTCTGTTAATAATTTACCTTTTTCAGTATTTATTGGATTGTAGCTATTAGAGAAGTATGACCGAAGTAAAAGGATGTTTGTGTTTTTATTGTTGGATTCTTTGGCTCAACAGTTGATATTATTGGCTTCCTATTGTCAAACATTTGACAATAGCAAATGTTTGTGGTTTTTGCTTTAGCAGTGTTCTTATTATTACTTTATTTTTAAACTTATTTAGTATACTTGGTTGGAATTGAGATAAGCTTTAAAAGAATATTTTATTTTGTCTTTGTATTAGCATATACAGTGTTTTCCAATAATCCTCAAATGCCACAGTTTAATATTTCATCACATAAAAATCTCACACCTTTGCAGTTTCTCAGTTTGATTTTCTAGAAAAACATTGACCTTTAAGCTGGCCACAGAGCTTCAATTCCTGGATAAAATCTTGGATTATTTGAACAACTCTGCAGTTTCTGTCCCCTATTGTTTTCTTTTACTTTTTTAAAATCCTCACCTGAGGATATATTTATTAATTTTAGAGAGAAACATCAGTGAGAAAGAAACATTGATCAGTTGCCTCCCATATGCACCCCAACTGGGGATTGAACCCATAACCTAGGTATGGGTTGTGGCTAGGAATTAAACCCACAACCTTTAGGTATATGGGACAATGTTCTAACCAACTGAGCCATGTGGTCAGGGCTGCCTTTATTGTTTTCTGAACATTTATTACATAAAGAATATGCTATATATTAACCTGATATTTAAGTGGTGGGATGAGCCAGCAGGTTTCTCACTTTAACAACTGAAATGGATTTTGCATTGCTTCTAGTGCAAGTACAGCTAAATATAGGAGCTCTAATGCTCAGTGACTCCGAAATTTTCGTAGTTAATCTGTGAGCAGTTCATTGATACTGCCAAGATGAGCTACTGCTAACATCACCACAGGTGTTACAGATTGAGCTTCTAAACTTCAAGGTATGCTTAATTCCTCATGGTAGAAGGGATTTTGTTCTAATTTCGTGGCAGTATTTTTAAGTGAATGTATTCTTCTCAGTGGAAGGTGACTGCTCTCTTTCTCTTGAACTTGCCCCTTCACCATTTGGTGTGCTCTCTCTGACATCAGCGCCATGTCATCAGCCACGTGGTGCCAGTTAAGCAGAATGCTTTACTAATTAATCATCTAGCTGTAGGAGGTGCCATCAGCCTTCTTGTATTCAAAACTAATAGCATTAGCTACAAAGAGTTTTGTGAATTCTGATGAGTCTGCTTTTCTTGCACATTCAGGTTACTATTGATCAAAATGTTTCTAATTCCTCATTTAGAGGAATGCAAGCATGAGCAAGATATTTCAAATATTGTAGGGAAATGCTAAAGGAAAATAGGCTTAATCTGGTTAAAACATTGTTTTTATTTTGAAAGGAGTCTGTTCCTTTCTTATCCTTTAAAAGGATATTTACCAAGCACAAATTATATGAAGAAAGGAAGGATTTATTCTTAATAAAGCCGGCTGAGATTCCCACCTGAGGATGTCTAGGGTCCGCTTAGGTTACCTTAACTGCCTAGGTTTCCATAGGATAGTCGATGTTTGGCTTCCTCAGTTGCTCAACTGGTATGTTCATTCATTTAACAAATATTTCTTGTGTGCCAGGCTAAGTGCTGGGGATATAACAATGATCAAAAACCTTACCCCCGTGGAGCTTGCAATATAGTGCTGGGGGAAAGACAGACAACAATCAGATAAATGTATCATTGGGTGCCAATAAGTGCTCTTCTGAAGGGGTAAAAAAAGTATAATAAATCGATAGAGTATGACTGGGGAGGGGAGTCACTATTTTAGAGAAGCTGATTTGGAAAGTTCTCTCTGAGGAGGAGACATTTGGGCAGATATATTAAGGAGATGAGGGAGCTGTGCAGATGTCTTAGGGCCTAAGACTTAGGGGAAAAATTTATCAGGTAAAAGGAAGGTCTCTGAGGTGGTAACCTAATGTATAATATCATTAGTTCTGAATTCGGCCTGGTGCTTCTGCTGAATGTAGCAACCTTGATTGCAAATATCTTTGGAATACTTACAGGTAGTCAGTCAGTCCTTTTCATCTTAGGTCCACATCAGGTCTTCTCTTCAACCCGGAACATGGAGAGGGAGCTATGGAAAATATGGAAATGTGATCAGGATTCTGATCCTTTACGCAAAAGGCAGCCCTTAATTTAGCAAAGCTAGAAAAGTACTGATCTTTTTTCTTTATGAAAAGAAAAATTTGTAACAGGTTTAACAAAGAGTATTGTCAAGTAAACCTGTTGTTTGTTTTGAAGACATTCTATCTTCTCTAATTATGCATCTAAGAATTACAGTTCTCTTTCATGTAACCTCAAAGTACCATAATGGAACAAAAGTAGATTGATGCTTCTTTTGTTTGAATGAAATTCAAGACTAAATTACACACCAATCAGTCTGAGTTATTTTTTCAATTTTCTCATTAGCGAAAATGGATAGTTTCCGATGAAAATATAGTGTTATATGCCAGCAGACTAGTCCTTTCTCTTGAGAATAAAAAGGAATGTAACCCCCTTTGGGGAGTACTTTGTAATTCAGTAGAATATTTTTGCTGAGTTTAAATCTTTGTATGGGAAGTATCTCCGTGTTCTATGTAAAGCCATATTTTTTAACTTCATGGAGAATTTTGCGTGCACATTATCTTGCTTTGTCTCTGCTGGAGGCCAGTGTTATCCCTTCCTCTGGGCTCCCCCAGCTCTTTGTACACTCCAGACTCTGCCTTCTCCTCTCTGATTTGTGTGCCTTGGCAGACAAGGGCATGAATCTTCTCGGTCCCCAGTACTGGTCACTTAGTAAGCACTCAGTAAACGTTTTTGAAGTGAACTAATGAAAGAACTAAGGCTCTATTCAGATTATTCTCACCATTTTTGAAACAACTCCCAGTATGATAGTACATGTATCTTTAGTAGCCATTGTTTGAAAATACATAATTGTGTTAACATATGTCACATTTAAATGCATTTTAGCCCCAGCTGGTGTGGCTCAGTGGATTGAGCCACTGGCCTGTGAACCAAAGGGTCACCAGTTCAATTCCCAGTCAGGGCACATGCCTGGGTTGCAGGCCAGGTCCCCAGTTGGGAGCACGCGAGAGGCAACCACACACTGATGTTTCTCTTCCTCTTTTCCCCTCCCTTCCCCTCTCTCTAAAAATAAAAAAAATAATATCTTTAAAAATACATTTTATTAATCAGAGAACATTTATATGTGTGAAAATACAAGTGAATATGGGACATTATTTATTCAGGCCACAGGTAATGGTTCTATGACCACATTTAGCACAGTGTAGAAAAATGTTGAACTCAGTAAATATTTTCATCAAAATGAGGTTCAGAGAATACCCTGATTTTTTTCCATAAAGAAAAATTTTAAACGTCAGATCAGTTTTTCACAAATGTGTTATAACTTCCAGTCTCTACTCATTCATTCAATAAATATTGAAATACTTTTTATATGCCAAGTTCTAAGAGCTTGAGATTGTCAAAGCCCTCTAGCCAGACACCACCAGGAACACACTTGTAGTTGATCAAATTCAGTTTATTACTGGATGCAATAAGAAAGAATATACACCATGAGGAATAGTGGGGCTTCTCAGAAAGAGAATGTTAGGAAAGTCTTATAAGATTTGGTTGGAGTTAGGTAATTTGGAGAGGTATTTAAGAAATACGGCCTTCCTCTGGACGAGGTGATCTTGGTAAGCAGGGTTAATTTAATGGCTGAGTATTTTATAAATCTTATCCAGGAGGAATGAAGACCAGAAGGTGGCTAATGCTGTCATCGGTCAAGAAGCAATAGTCACTCATATTAGCCAGAATGGAGATGTTAGTCATTGTCTATGATTTGGACAGTATTCATTCTTTGTATCAGGTGTGATTGTGGAGTTGTCTTATTTCTCCTTTGGTTCATCATAGTCACAGAATGTCCTTGTCTGATATTGCAGTGCTATGAAATTGTGCCTGTTTGGCAGGAGAACACTGCTGACTAGCTGTGGGCGCTAAGCCAGCTCTGTGATGACAGGGGCTGCTTTGCTTTTTCTCAGGCTACAGCTGTCACAAAATAAATAAAAATCCCTGCCCTCATGGAGCTTAAGTCCTAGCGTGAGGAAATAGTAAAGATAATAAACTTACAACGTAAGTTAGCAGGTGATTGCTGGTATAGAAAAAAAAAACAGGATAAAGGGAGGAAATGTGTCTCTGAGAGATGGAGTGGCAAGTTAAATCAAGGATGGTCTCCCTGAGAAGGTGACATTTGGCCTGAGATTTAAGGGGAATGAGGAAGTACTATCTATAGGAAAGATGTTCCAGGTGGGCCAACAACCAGTTCAAGGAACGTCTTAAGTCAGGGAGGGATGTACCTGACATGTTAGAGGTATGGTGAAGAAGCCACTGCCGCTAGAGTAGAATGAACAAGGAACACAAAGGTTAGAAGCGAGGTCAGACAGATAGGAGAAGCCAGTTCAAGAATGGCTTTATAACCACCCCAGAAATGTTCTTTTTTTTTTTTACATTGAGACCTTGAAAAAAAGTGATGAGTTGATTTGACTTAATTTCTAATAGATCTGCTCAGGGCTTAGAATAGACTTTAGGTCAAAGGGAGAAGCAGGGAAACCATTTAGGAGGCTTGTGGGGTGGTAATAGTGGAGGTGTCCAGAAGTGTTCTGGTTCTGAATATATTTGAAGATAGAGCCAATAAACACTTTTTAATGGATTAGATGTGAAGTGGGGAAAGGAATAGTCAAAGGCGAATCCAAGATTTTGGTTCTTAATCATAAGATTTAGTTGCCCTTTCCTGAGATGGGCAAGAATTCAAGAGGAGCAGGTCAGGTGTCCTCAAGACTTTGACGTGAGGACAGGTCAGGTGTCCAGTTCTGGGCATAATTTTGAAATACAGTAGACACCCAGGAGGAGATTTCAAGTGGGTATTGCATATACAGGGACAGGCCTGGCTGGAGATAGATATGGGGGAATTCGCCATGAACAACTAATATTAAAATCACAGGACTCCTACTTTTTGTGACAGCATGGATGGAACTGGAGAGCATTATGCTGAGTGAAATAAGCCAGGCAGTGAAAAACAAATACCATACGATCTCACCTATAAATGGAACCTAATCAACAAAGCAAACAAGCAAACAAAATATAACCAGAGACACTGAAATTAAGAACATACTGACAGTAACTGGAGGGGAGGGGGAGGGGACAGAGGGGAGAAGGGTTTTCAGGAACTACTATAAAGGACACATGGACAAAACCAAGGGGGAGGGTGGAAGCAAGGGAGGGAGGTGGGTTTGGAGGGGGTGGAGGGGGAGTAAATGCAGACAACTATAATTGAACAACAGTAAAATAATTTAAAAAAACTAAAACGTATTAAAATGAATTAAATTAAAAAAAAATAAAATCACAGGACTGAATGAGGTCACCTAGAGAGTGAGTAGAAATAAAAGTTCCAAACACTGAGTTCTGCAACACTCCAACTAAGGGCTCAGGAAGAATAGGAGACTGAGAAGGAGTTGCTAGTTAGGTAGGAAGAAAATCACTCATTTCAAAATATTTTTTGAGCACATTAGTAGTACCAGGCACCAAGGTAGACATTAGGATTGCAGATACTGTGGGGCCACTCACTGCAGTAGGAAACACAGGAGAAAGCAAATTGAAGGGGAAAGTTAATGTGTTTGGTTTTAGACATTTTGAGCTGCAGGTGCCTATGGAACAGCCAGCAGACAGTTGGAAAATTCGGTCTACAGCCTAGGCAATTCATGACAAGAAAGAGTTGAAAGTCATACCATGTATACATATATTTAGCTTTGGCTTTGTGAATACATTTATTTAATCTGTAGTAAATGGCCATATTTGCTCTTATAAATAATCCTGAAGAAGGAGATATTTAAAGCCACATAAAATATTAAATAGCCCTGGCTGGTATAGCTCAGTGGATTGAGTGTGGGCCTGTGAACCAAACATCACCAATTCGATTCCCAGTAAGGGCACATGCGTGGATTGCAGGCCAGGTCCCCAGTAGGGGCATGTGAGAGCCAGCCACACATTGATATTTCTCTCCCTCTCTTTCTCCCTCCCTTCCCCTCTCTCTGAAAATAAATAGTGAAATGTTTTTAAAAATATTAAACAAACAAAACTGTGACACAGGTTAGCCACTGCCTGTATTTAATTTCCCTGAGAAGCTCCTGACTTATACTTAACTGGCCTTTATTAGCTGAAAAGTCTTTTGAAAGTTATTAATACTTATTAGAAATAGAGCCAGTAGCATGTAAACATTCTGAATAAGATTCTATTAAAAGGGGGAGTATATTGATACAACCCATCACAATATGTTAGTTTTTTTTTCTGTAGTTACCAGTTAGACTGACCTTATTTATAAAACTTTCTTTACAAAGAGAAAAAAGATAAAAAATCTGAATAATAAAATGGTAATAAATATGTATCTTTCAACAACTTATTTTTTTTAAATCCTCACCCGTGGTTATATTTATTGATTTTGGAGGAAAACTGGGTGAGGGGAGACCATTGATGTGTGAGAGAGAAATATTAATTGGTAGCCTCACATACATAACCCAACCAGGGATTGAACCTTCAACCTAGGTATATGCCCTGACCAGGAATTGAACCCACAATCTTTTGGTGTAAGGGATGATGCTCTACCCAACTGAGCCATTTGGCCAGGGTATCAACAATTACCCTGCATGTGATTAAATGCATATGACTAAGTGCTCCAATCAAAAGGCATAGGGTGGCTGAATGGATAAGAAAATAAGACCCTACATATGCTGTCTATAGGAGACTCACTTCAGGTAGAAAGATACACAGACTGAAAGTAAAGAAATGGGAAAAATATTTCATGAAAATGGAAGTAGCAAAAAAAAAAAAAGCTGGGGTAGCAATACTTACACCAGACAAAATAGACTAGTAAGAGACAAAGAAGGACTGAGCAGTTCCACTTCTGGATATTTTTTTAACTGTATTTATTTTTTAGAGAGAGAGGAAGGAGGGAGAGGGAGAGAGAAACATCAGTGTGTGAGAGACACATTGATTGATTGCTTCTTGCATGCTCCCAACCGTGAACCTGGCCCATAACTCAAGCATGTACACAGAGTGGGAATGGAACCAATAACCTTTCAGTTCACAGACCAGCACTCAGTCCACTGAGCCACAGCAGCCAGGGCTGGATATTTATCCAAAGAAACTCAAGACACCAAATTGAAAAGACGTGTGCAACCATATGTTTATTGCAGCATTATTTACAACAGCCAAGGTACAGAAGCAGTCCTAGTGCCCAACAGTAGATGAGTGGATAAAGAACTGGTCCATACATACAGTGGAATATGACTCAGCCATAATAAAGAATGGAATCTTGCCTTCTACAGTGACGTGGATGAACGTAAAGGGTATTATGATGAGTGAAACAGTCAGAGAAAGACAGACAAATACCATATGATTTCACTTATATGTAGAATCTAAAAAACAAAATAAACAAGCAAAACAAATAAAATGATAGATACAGAGAACGTTTTGACAGTTTTCAGATTGAGGGGTGCTGGATGAAAAAGAGGAAGGGATGGAAAAGTACAAATTAGTAGTTACAGAATAGTCATGGAGATGCAAAGTACAGCATAGGGAATATAATTCATAATATTGTAATAAGTATGTGTGGTATCAGATGGGTACTAGATGTATTGGGGTGATCGTTTTGTAAATTATATAAATGTTTAATCATTGGATGGTACACCTGAAATTAATACAATATTGTCAACTGTAATTTAAAAGTAATATAATTTCAAAATAATTTGTTAACTTCCTTTGTCATTACAAAAAGTGAAAATAATAGTCTTGGTTGTGGTTTTTTTTTCAAACACGTAAATATCATCTTGAAGATGATTATTACAGTACATTTCTTTCTCCTTTGTTACCATTTCAGCCACTGTATGATGCTGCTTACCTTACAATGTACAATATCTGCTTCACATCCTTGCCCATCCTGGCTTATAGTCTACTGGAACAACACATCAATATTGACACTCTGACCTCAGATCCCCGATTGTATATGTAAGTGGAACATTACAGTTAAAACCCCCTCAGACTTACAGGGTTGTGGGTTTCACTTCATATGAAGGTGGGAAGGACACACACTCCTCACCTGGTTTGATCACCTGGTTCTGTTCCGTTCGACAGGAAAATGATCTACTCCTATTTCCTAGGTATATAGGTCCTTTACTCGAATGTATGTGAACCATTTACTTCAAAATTATTAATTCCTAAAATTTGAACCTACATTGTCATAGAGTTCTGGAGTCTTAAAGGAAGACAGTATTTTAACTACAAAATAAAAAGCCTCACACAAAGATCTTTGTTAGTTTACAATATTTATTCCTACCTATAATGGATTGAACTGACGATGCTATGTTAGGCTTTCTCTTGTAAACTACCCCTTGAAACCTAGCCTCTCTCCCTTTGTTATCCCCATTCTAAAACTTTTTGTTGAAGAGAATAATTCATCAAGCCATTATATTCATTGTGTGTCTATTGGAAATGCACACATGTCTGTATGGATGGGGGGACTCAGCACTAACTAGCCCCAGTTGCTTAACCTGTACTTTTATTGCATTTTTTATAAGTAAAGCCTGAAGCTAGGGATGAAGATGTTAATTTACAGCAGATAATAAGCATTGCTAAATAGTGGACAGCAAACGCAGATGAGAGACATGGGTGGTTGACATGTAGGAAGTGAAGGTATACAAATTAAGGGATTTCTTTGACCAGTGTGACTCATAAAATTCGCATTTAGTAATTGAGACCCTTAACTAGACTTATAAAATATAGCATCAGCATTTTTAAAGGAAATGTTCAAATATGCACAGAAATAGCAAAAATATTATTAATATAGTGAATTTACTTGTCCTCCCCACTCAGCTTCACCAATTATCAACTCAGAGCCAATTCTTTTTCATTAATAACCCTGTCTTCTCTATCACAGACTTATTTTGAAGCAAATACCCAACATTGTATAAAATAGCGTATGCTTTCAACATAAAGACTTAAAAAATAACACTGCCTATCATATCTTTAAGTTTTACAAGTCCATAATATCAGATATTCAGCCAATGTTCAAATTTCTCCAACTGGCTCATTTCTTTGAATAGCATGCTTGTTTGAATCAGGATAGAAGGCACATATTTTACAGTTGGTTAACATGCTTCTTGAGGTTAACCTGGCAATTTTTGTTGATGAAACTGGATCATTTGTCTCATAGAGTTTCCCCTGATCTAAGAGTTTGTTGATGGCATTGTTTAACATGTTCTTTCTTTCCCTATATTTGCTGCAAAGGGATAGTGAGATCTAGAGGGGAATCATAAAAACCTTGGTGGAAATCTTGCAGAGCATCATCTCCCATACTGTCATTTTTTTAAAGATTTTATTTATTTTGTAGAGAAAAGGGAAGGAGAAAGGGGAGAGAAACATCAATGTGTGAGAGAAACATCAATCAGTTGCCTCTCCCATGCCCCCACTGGGGACCTGGCCCGCAACTCAGGCATTGTGCCCTGACCGGGAATCAAACCAGTGACCCTTCCACTTGTAGGCTGGTGCCCAGTCCACTGTGCCACACCAACCAGGGCTCCCATACTCTTATTTTAAAAATGAGGAACCAGGATGCAGTAATCACTTTCCTAAGGACACCTGTATAACTGAAGGCCAAGCCAAACTCAGAATTCAGTCTTCCTGGTGACCAGCCTTGTGCTCCTATCACCAGGCTGGTGCTTTTTCAGCACTGAGCCAACAGTGTGATCCATCTTCTGTCAACAACTAAAGTGGGGGCCAACAGTGCTATTGCCCTGCTTGGAGTGGGGTTGGGCTGCAGTGAGCAGAATCCCTCCCATTCAGTCCTAGCAAGAGCTCAAGCTGATGGCCTGAGTGCCAGTCCTGGCTCTGCCACTCTCTAACTATGTGACCTTGCACAGGTTACTGGACTAAGATGTGCCTCAATTTCATCTTTGGTGAAATCTAGGTAACAGTAGCGCCTAATTCACAATGGTTTTATGAGGATTACACAAGTGACTACACATAAAAGAACTTAAAAAAAAAAAAAAACCAGTGCCTGGCCCTGGATGGTGCAGCTCACTGGATTGAGTGCTGGTTGCTGGTTTGATTCCTGGTCAGGGCACATGCCTGGGTTGTAAGCCAGGTCCCCAGTTGGGGGCATGTGAGAGGCAACTAATCAATGTATCTCTTGTACACTGATGTTTCTCTCCTCTTTCTCCCTTCTCCCTCCCCCTTTCTAAAAAGTAAATAACTTAAGTAAATAAGTAAGTAAATAAAATAATTGCAAATGTCTCTTTAAAAAAAACAGTGCCTGGCACATAGTAAGTTTTCAATAGATGGTAGCTATTTGATCTTATTCTAACACCCTCCTCCACTTCAGGGTTGTATCAAGCACTTTTGTACATTAAGAATGTTGAAAAGCTAAAGACAACTGTTGTGTACAAATTATTGTATGGGTTTTCAGGAAGTTTTACTGAACAGCAAGTATAGGTCATGAACTATTAAACAGTTTTGCAGAGAGGGTATACTTGCCACATCTGATGCAGAAATGAAAGCCATGACATACCTGTTGCCCAGCCCAAAATTCTGTTTCCCTTCTTGCCTACTCTGACGAGACACTGCCCTTGGCCTGTCACTGTAGATTGCTCCAGCACTCCAAGTGTTCCTTTGTAAATATGAAGCCCTCACCTTCATATGTGCCTGTCTCTGCAGTTGTGTAGCAGATTTTAGATTTCACCATCAGGGACTTACTGACTTAGGCATTTCCCATACATTCTGATGTGAAACAAGGAAACCATAATTAGATAGTTCCGTATTTTTAAGAGAAATGTTAAAAGTAAACTAGTTTTTTTTATAGAGGGAAGAGGCATAGTTTCTTTCTTCTACAGCTTTAAAAGGCAAAAGAAAGGTCCTCATCTACTAGCTACCCCCCCATCCTGTGGAGGTGCTCGGGCCTGTGCTGCTAGTCAGCTGCTCCCCAGATCTATATTCTCTCTCATGTTCTCCTGCATGTTGGCTGTCATATTCTGTTTCCGGCAGCTTGGCCATTTACCTGAATGCAGCTGAAAAGCCTCACATAAAACCCAATACACTATGATGCTCCCATCCGTCTTCCCACAGTATGTAGTGTAACTCCCAGAGAAGGTCTGGAAACACAGGAACCACTTTTGCCTTAGCCCAAGACAGTGACTCTGAAAAGCCTCATTGGCTGGCAGTTTCTGGGCAGTTCCTGCAAGGATCTTTGGGAAGGTGCCACCCCTGTGGCTCCCATTTGTCTTGGGAATCTGACTTAGTGGTTGTGAGGAGAGCTTGTTTCTGGGAAGCAGCTACCTCTTTCCTCCTGCAGTTTTTCTAAGGCAAACAGCAGTGCATTGCTTTATGCATCCCTGGAATTTCAGATACCTTCATGTACCTAGAAATGTTACTAAGGAAAAGTTGTGGACTTCTGGCCAAGATGGAGGAGTAGGTGGAAACACTGTGCCTCCTCACACAACCAAGTTTAAAGACAAAGTTTTAGTAATAAAAAATGCAGCCAAAACACAGAAAATTGAACTGTAGGGAAGTCCAACAACAACAAAGCATTCAGCCAGACCAGTAAGAGGGGCAGAGTCAGCGGCAGAGTAGGGTCGGGCAGGAAAGATCGGTGGACCAACCCAGGCGCGCAGGCGGTGGTTGGTGGATACCAGGCACGGTGTGGCAATGGGTGGACCCAGTGAGGGCTCAGGGCGGCTGGCTGACCACGGTCACACATTTGAGCGCATATAAACCAAGCAAAGGAGTGAACAGTGAGACAGACCGCTCAGGCTAGGGCCCCAGCAACGGGAATTAGAGCCTGAAAGCACCAATTGGAAAGACTTTCGAGGTTGAGGTGCTGGGAGAGGCTCCTAGGCTCACAGAGAGTTCGTTGGAGCAACCCACAGGGTCCTGGAGGGTGTACAAGCCCACACATCTTGGAACCAGCACCAGGAGGGCCCAAGTTGCTTGTGGGAAGCACCAGAGGGGACAGAAATATGAGAGAGAGCAGAACAAATGCCATTGCCCCTCTCTGACCCTGTCCGCGCATATAGCATCACAACCCAGCGACCTGGGTCACCCCACCCTGGTGAACACCTAAGGCTCCACCCCTCATACATAACAAGTGCAAAAAGACCAAAACATTATGGCTCAAGAAGAGCTCAAAGCTCCAGAGCCAATAATTCTAAGTGACCAAGAGATAGCCAACCTTTCAGATGCACAGTTCAAAACACTGGTGATCAGGATGCTCACAGCACTGGTTTTTTTTAGTTTAGAAGAACAAATGAAGGCTAAATTAATTGAAATGAAGGGAAATGCACAGGAAACCAATAGTGATGGAAAGGAAACTAGGACTCAAATCAAGGGAGTGGACCAGAAGGAGGAAAAAAATGACCAAACAGAAAAGGATGAAGAAACAAGAATTCAAAAAAATGAGGAGAGACTTAGGAACCTCCAGGACATCTTTAAATGCTCCAATATCTGAATTATAGGGGTACCAGAAGGGGAAGAGGAACAACCATGAGTGGAAAACTTATTTGAACAAATAATAAAGGAGAACTTCTCCAATCTGGCAAAGGAAATAGACTTCCAGAAAATCCAGGAAGCTCAGAGAGTCCCAAAGAAGTTGGACCCAAGAAGGAACACACCAAGGCACATCATCATTACATTACCCAAGGTTAAAATGAAGGAAAGAATCCTAGAAGCAGCAAGAGATAAGGGGACTGTCATCTACAAAGGAGTTTCCATCAGACTGTCAGCAGATTTCTCAAAAGAGACCTTCCAGGCAAGAAGGGGCTGGAAAGAAGTATTCCAAGTCATGAAAACCAAAGACCTACAACCAAGATTGCTCTATCCAGCAAAGCTATAATTTAGAATGCAAGGACAGATAAAGTGCTTCTCAGATAAGGTCAAGTTCAAGGAGTTCATCATCACCAAGGCCTTATGATATGAAATGTTAAAGGGACTTAACTAAGAAAAAGAAGATAAAAAAGATGAACAGTGAAAGGACAGCACACTCACAGTTATTAACAACCACACCTAAAACAAAAGCAAACTAAGAGGACAGCTAGATCAGGAGCAGAACCATAGAAATGGAGATCACATGGAGGGTTAGCAACAGGGGAGTGGGAGGAGGAGAAGGGGGGAGAAGGTACAGAGAATAAGTAGCATAGACGGTAGATAGAAAATAGGGGGGAGGGCAAGAATAGTAAGGGAAATATAGAATCTAAAGAACTTGAGACACATGGACATAAACGAAAGGTGGGGGAATGGTGGGGGAGGGGTGAGCAGGGTAGAGAGGAATGAAGGGGGGGAATAGGACAACTGTAATGGCATAATCAATAAAATATTTTTTTTAAAGTTGTGGACTTACCACCTTTTCAGGAAAGCCCACAGTACTCAGTATTAGCTGAATGAGGATCAGTTGCACTTACATTACAAGGGTATTTCTTATTCCATACAGCCCAGTGACATTCTTGGTAGTATTGAGGACTGGTGTGCTGCTTTTGAGGCATTAGATAGCTTTTGATAAATGTCAAGGGTAATTTGAAATAGACTCCAAAAAAAATCGTGCACAAATCCATCTTCTATCTGTAGCTCTGCTCCATTAGAATTGGTAGCCTCATATAATATTCTGACTTGTACTGACAAGATTGTGTTACTTTTTGACAGATTTTAAACTTTTGATCTATCCACCTTCCATTCATCAGAGCATGACTGTACAGCTTCAAACATGTGATTTGACTCAATTGAAAGATATAAAGGGCATCCCAAGACCAAACAAGGTTAAATTCCCAGGAAGAAATCATGATTAAAAGAAATATTTTAACAACTATAGTTGGAAAGTGGAGGTAGCTTATTTGAGGATCTATGATCTGGAGTCAAGTAAATCTAGGACCGTATGCTAGGTCTGCCCCTCCCTGAATGAGTGAACTCTGGTGTGCTGCTACACTGATGATTCCCAAATGAGAGAATCACCTGGGGAGCTTTAAAAATATCCTGGTGCCCAGGTTAGCTTCATGCCAATTAAATCAGAATGACTTTGGGAGCCATGCATCAGTGTGTTCAAAGATCCCCAGGTGCATCAAAGATTGGGAAGCATTAGGATACACTTTTTTGAGGCTTATTATTTATAGATAAGATTGGTAAAACTATGTCGTGTGATTTTTATATCGATAAAAATGGACTATGTATATAAAACTCTGAACCCAGTTTTCTGACATGATTGCTCAATAAATGGGGGCTCATTAGTAGCAATGTTATTGTTGTCAGGTGGCCAAAACTTTAACTTAGAAGTTCTCAGACAGTTTGCTCCAATATCAAAATCAGGAGGTGATTACACAAAAATAAACTTGTAGCTCACTCTGACGTTTCGATCCCTCAGGGATAGCTCCTTTCATTACACTAGGGTCAAACTCCATATGCACTCTTGGCATGTCACTGTATCTTTAAATAAACAGACTACAGAGATTCATTAACCTGTATTTTTTTTTTATTTCTCAATAGGAAAATTTCTGGCAATGCCATGCTGCAGTTGGGCCCCTTCTTATATTGGACATTACTGGCTGCATTTGAAGGGACAGTGTTCTTCTTTGGGACTTACTTTCTTTTTCAGACTTCATCCCTAGAAGAAAATGCAAAGGTGGATAAACGTGATTACTCTTTTGGTATTTATAAACATGGCTTATGAAAAATCTTTTTTTCCATAGGCACTGGATCAATCATACACGTATTGTAGCTATAATCATTTTGCAAATTGTTTAAAGGTACAGTATTGAGTTCTCACAAGTTCTTTAGAACAGTAGAAGTGTTGACATACAAAATCACTTGTTATGTTCATGGCTAACTAGACAGGTTCCATGCAAACCTTCTGGAAGCTTAATTTAACTTGGCTGTAATTTTTATTAGATGAACAGAGTTTTGAGGATTTCAGACTTTAGACCACTGCACTTTGATGTGAGCACAGCTTTCCCTGTTTTAAAAGCAAAGTCTGGCCCTACTCAGTTCTTATTCATAGTGGCCTTCCAAAGCTTGGAGTTCAAGGCGAGTGACTGTCATATCTTTAGAATTCCCTTCTCTTCCTCCTTCCCTTCTGCATGGTAGTATAATGTTTTCCAGAAAGGCTACACTGTCCCTACCAGTGCATTCCCAGCAGGTGACTACATAGGTTAGCACCTGCACTGGGACGATTTTGCCCTGGAGGCACCATAAAAGAGAATTGCTCATGGGGTCAGGTCTCCTTCAGCCACACAGTGGACAGTCGAATCCACCATCCTGTGTGCTGCTTTCACTGTGTCTGCTGTTTTGGGGCTTCCTCTTTTAAGGTCATTCTTTTTTTTTTATATTCATAATATGAAACAGTTAATGTTCAAAAAGAATTCACTGAATACAATGGCTATGTCTAGAACCTAGATAGTCATATCTGTTAGGGAATACAGATCTAGTATTTTATAGTAAGTACATGCAGCACTTGCCAAGAAATGTGCCCTACTTAATATCTGCACGTGCCCTTGGGCAAGTCACTTCAGCTTTCCAAGTCAGCTTTGCGCATCAGTGAAAGGAAGGGATTCGTTATTATGATTTCTCAAGTTTTTAAGCTTTGTGACTCATTCTGTGACTTGCACTTTTTATTTTGTTTATTTGGCATATGAATTGTATAGAGGTGACTCGCTTTTTAAAAAGTTTGCTGCGAAATAGGTGGATACTCTTCCTGCAGTCCTATTGGCATGGTTCCTTTACTCAGCAGATTCTTCAGGTGGTGCATAGGGAGCCTCCACGCAGCCTATGTCCAATTCGTCACCCATGTTCAGTTCATGGTGTCCAGACTAGATTTTACTGTATATATTGCCATCCTGAATGTTCGCTAAATTTACAGTAAGTTGTAAGAACTGCTATCAGCACTTAAAACATAACACCCATGTATGATTTGATCGAGTTATTTTTTTTTTGCTTCTATTAACCTTAAGTTTTTGTTTTTATTTTCTGAAAACCTTTCACATTTCATTTTCTGTTTTAATGTTATGCACTCAGATCTTGACAGCATTTGGTAAGCATATGTGCCATTCGTTGCCGTTGTTTGGATTTATACATGGTATCTGCTTTTCTTTGATGTGCAAATGCTGACAGCTGTAATAGTTACAGCCAAAAGACTCTGCTTTCAAAATGTGAGTCCATTTGTTTGTAAATTAGTCCTTTTTCAGAGCTTTAGTTCTTTATAACAGGAAAAGCCTGTATCAGTCTCTTTAGCGACGAGTCATGCGATGACTTGTGTTGATGAACATTACTGTTAATGGCATAGGATTTTTTCTTCTGCCTTTTTTATGCCTGTGTTTTCCCTGTTTGATGCTTCATGGAATAATGGAAATAAATGCTACCAACCACAGATGTGCTGTACGTGGCCAAGAAAATCTAAGGTTACAATAAAATCCAACATTTTGGCCTGATCTTTTGACCTGACATTCCCCAAACAGTTCACACAAACTTTTTTTTGCAGTTATACACAAGATTAAACTTGGTTTTTATTTATGTTAAGCAGGCTTGTATGTTGTTGGTACATGTAATTATAAATTTTTTTTCAGGTGTATGGAAACTGGACTTTTGGAACCATTGTTTTTACAGTCTTAGTATTCACTGTAACTCTGAAGGTTAGATATTTTATTTATTCAACTATATTTAACACCATTTTTTTGTAATACTTTCTGGTCTTTCACTAATATGTCTTTTTTGTCTTTTAAGCTTTATTTTTATTATGGGTTGTCATCCAAGTCTGAATGCTTACCAAAATATGTATGATATTGGAAATTTAGGTATTTGTATAGTATTTGTGAGGGTTTTTTTTTACTGTTTATTATCCTCTTTATTTGGTTTTATTTTTTTAATTCATACATTATACTTATGTTAGAAATATGTTCCTTCTCTCCAGCTATTTTTGAGATGTTATAAGTGGTATATAAGCAGACTCTGTATGTGTGTGTGTGTTACCATGTTAAGTGCTTGAATATTAAAGTTATATATTTGTTTAAGAATGCCAGGTCTTAAATGAATTTGGGTACTTAAGACAGTTCAGCAGGATATGTATGCAAAAGAGCTTGGAAGTGATGAAATTTTATATAATGTATTCATCACTGAAATTTACCTATATTCATGATCAAATGCATAAAAATACATAGAAGGTAACATACAAGAAGGGTAGTTTTGGTGTAATCATTGACAGTAATGTAGTAATAGCTCTGAAGCCTTGATGAATGCTGCCCTTGAGGCTCATAAGTTGGGGCTCTCATCTAGTTGAAAGAATAATCAAATTCTTTTGATCATTCCAGTAATGAACTCCTCACATGGGGTCCAAGAATGAGTTCCCTTAAGTGAATTCTAATATGCCCAGTGGTCAGAACTAAAATTCTATTCTTGGTTAATTTTTTACACCTTAAAGTACTAGCATATGTTTGCATCTACTATTTCAGTAATATTTTAGGACTACCAGAAATGGTACAATTAATCTCAGTTCAACTACTTACTAGCAGAGTATATATAACCCTGGCTTTCTCAGTACCTCCATTTCATCTTCTTTAAGGTGGAGGCTAAGGTAGCACCTACCTGTTTTAGCATTTTGTGTGTGTGTGTGTGTGTGTGTGTGTGTGTGTGTGTGTGTGAGAGAGAGAGAGAGAGAGAGAGGGAGAGAGGGGGGGGAGAAGTGAATGATACATATAAACCACTTAGAATGCAGTCTGGCACATAGAATGTGCCCAGTACAATAAATGCTAGTTGTTACTAATTCCTGTGTTTTACAGGATGATGATTTGAAATGGAAGCCTCCCTACCCTTTTTCCTCCTAGCCTTGTGTATGGCCCTAGGGCTTCCAAGTGCCTTTCATAGTTAAAGTTGGCCTTACTGCAACATCTTTCAGTGAGTCCCTCAGCAGACATCCACTCCCTGTTCTTTGGATGGATATTATTGTGACATGTTTCCTAGCAGCCCAGAGGGTGAGCATTCTAGACTGGGCTACATTAACAATGTTATCCATATCCTGTTTATGGGTGAGAAATTGTATCACAGAGCTGAGGAACATGCTGTCGCAGCAAGTATGGAAACTGAGATACCACTTCCTCTTTGATAATTAAATGCCCTGGATATTGATTTGTATGGCCTAGAAATTATCAGCAAGTGAAGCAGACCATACTTTCTTGGTTTTATATTGCATTTGAAAATGACAATCAACCCTCACAGGAACACGGAGGAATTAAAATCTAAGACAACTGAAAATATTAATTTAATTGAAAGATAAGGGTTTTTGCAATTGAAAGGCACACTACGTAGTCAGACCCATTATCCATCGCTACATGATGCAAGTGTGTAGAGCTAGTGGCCTTTGTATTTAGTTACTCCCATCTGTTGTTTTTGAGCTGTCATTACTCTTTGTGTAGTTTGTTTACATTTCCTAGCTCCCCCTTCCCTCTTCTGCTTTTCAGTGTACCTGCCTGCACCAGCTTAGGCTTCTCCTTTTGCTATCGTTTCCCTGGCTGCCACTACCTGAGGGATTGAGGCTCTAGATTCCTAGATGTTTCCATTACCTCATTCTTTGCCCTTTCTTTACTAGAGAGACATCTGTAGCCCCATCCCTACTAGCCCCGTGCTTGACCACATCTCCATACCTGTATTCCAGAGTCTAGAGGACTTAGGAAAGAGTTCAGCTCTTTCATATTCTCGCTTTTTGAAAAGCCTGGACCTTGTCCTCATTTTAGGTCCATTCTCTTCTGGAAGCCTGGCCCATGCCGGGCACCCCCCGTAGGTATCATATTGTATACAAGTAATCAGATACCATAGTGTATTACTGCCTGGTGCAATTTGTACCCATCATGAAATCTCTTGTGTTGTATCTTTTCAGCTTGCCTTGGATACTCATTTCTGGACGTGGATAAATCACTTTGTAATTTGGGGTTCTTTAGCCTTTTATGTATTCTTCTCATTCTTCTGGGGAGGAATTATTTGGTAAGCAGATGTATATGTGTGAGTAAATGTAAATAACAAAATAGGTATGTTTATAGCTATATTATACATGCAAACATTATACTTTTAAGTTTTGATTATACAAGATGGCAAGTATTCAGTATAAATGGACAGGAAGTTACTTCTAGACAGTAACACTGCTAATTTCAGTGAGATTTCAAGTACAAGTTTGGACTGCACGAGTTCCTCGAAAGACCTCCCTTCTGGTAGCTTCTGCCCAAATCTTTCAGCTTGAAAGTATGTAAACATCTCTCTATGAAGTGAAACTGTAATTTCTAGCTTGACCTCCCATGTGATTTCTGGTGGAAATACTCATCCTGTAAAGTTTCTACACAATATAGTGTCTGATAGGTACATTATTATCTGCTTGGCCCTTATTCTTTCTTTATGGTACATAGCTGTCATTCATGTCACTGAAGAGGTGCTGGAGGTATGGAATATACACCAGTTAATACTCAGAGGGTTATATCTTAAAATCACCATCTCATTGTTTGCGGAGATAAAGGCAGAATCTACAGCTTGGCCTTAAAATTCATTCAGTTCACTTTGGTTTGATAAGCGTGTATTCGGGATTTATTTTGTGCAAGGTACTCTGTGGGATACAAAGACATAGACTGTACCCCCAGCCTCAAGGAGATTACAGTCCATTGAGGGACACATAGCTGTGACTGGGAGAGTTATAAGGAATGAAAACAAGCTAGATTTTCAGTACCTTTCTTTACCCACAACATGGAGGTTAGGGACACCAAACCATACCCCCCCCCGCAATTTCTTGCACAGTTGAAAATCCACCTACAATATTTTGACTCACAAAACTTAAAACTACAGTCATTCCTTGGTATCTGCTGGGAATTTATTTCAGGACTATTGTGGATACCAAAGTTCATGGCAGCTCAAATCCCTTATATAAAGTTGTATAAAACTGCAGATAGCCAGCTCTCTACATTTGTGGACTTGCAACCAGATAAAAAATATGTTTTCCATATCCATTTAGTTGAATGCATGTATGTGAAACTGCAGATAACTAGGGCCAACTGTATATTTACCCATGTGTCCAAGGGACAGCTGTGGCTTTTTTTTTAATATCACTGTTGTTTTCATTAACCAGTGACTTCCCCTGATAAGGATGCCAGCAGCAGAGATCATAGCTAGAGTAAACCCTAAAGACTCCAGGAGTCCATATTTTTACTGGTTTGAGCACAGTCGTACATATACCACATTCCATGTTATCACAGAGATGTGAGCACCATGTTTATACTGCTTGAGACTTAATTGGAAGAAACTCTTAGTGTTCTGAAAGGCTTTTTAAAATAAAAACCTTCAGAAATAGTCCTGGCTGGCTGGTGTAGCTCAGTGGATTGAGCATGGGCTGTGAACCAAAGGGTCACTAGTTTGATTCCCAGTCAGGGCACATGCCTGGGTTGCAGGCCAGGTCCCCAGTGGGGGCCACGTGAGGGGCAACCACGAACTGATGTGGCTCTCCCTCTCTTTCTCCCTCTCTCCCCCCTCTATAAAAATTAATAAATAAAAATACTTTAAAAAATAAAGTAATAACCTTCATAAATAAAAATATGAAAAACTTAATCACTTATGGAAGTACTGCTCCAAACAGTATAATTACAGCATATATTTGGCACCTGTATAGATAATTATTGAGGCAGTGAAGCTAAACCTCTATTTTCTTTAATAGTATATAAATGAATCAAAGTTAGTTAGCCAAATGTAATATGCAATTGTAGTTCTGCCACAGTACTATAATTCTATGAATCTAACTCTTACCATGTACTGTCCGTCATTAATATAAAGAAACCCTTTAAGTGATTGATATCATCATACCTATTTTAGTTCATTAGCGATACTTAACTAAAAATAAAATATTAACCTTTATTTTCTTACCTGCAGTGTTGTCCTTAAGTAGAACTGAGTTGAGCTACTATGTGATTATACAATTCATGCAATAAAGCAACCAGCAAAATGTGACTAGAAGCCATGTGAAACTTGAGCTGAATGCTGGTTGCAGCTGATATCTCGGGACATGTTCAACCCTGAGGCATTGGAACACACTCCTCTTTGGGAGTGGTCAGTGGGGATGATGATTTCTGAGACCCAAACCCAATCCTGTAATATCTTCTGTTTTTACTACTCCCCTTTAAAGATCTATGACACCATCAAAATAAAAGGAGTAAAGGTAAAAAAAATCAAAGGAAACAGAAAAATCTAGAAATACTAATCACAGAGTATTGTAGGTACCATGTAAAGGAATACTTTGTGACTAGCTGTCATTTGTCTGTTAATTGAGCCCTTATGGATCAATTAACTAACTGCCTAGAAAATTATGGTGCTTTTCAAAACTAGAGTGTGGGTAGAGCTCTGAAGTTTTTTTCTGTATGGTAGGGACCCTAGAAAGCCTGTTTATCCCAAACCTCTTAAGTTTCCCCACTTCACTGTCCTGCTCACAATTTTTTAATCCTCACCTGAGGATATATTTACTGATTTTAGGGAGAGGGGAAGAGAGAGAGAGAGAGAGACATCAATGTGAGAAACATCAATCAGTTGACTCCCATACATGCCCTAACCGGGGATAGAACCTACAGCCTCCGCATGTGCCCTGACCAGGAATGAACTTCCTGACATTTTTGAAGTGTGGGACGACACTCCAACCAACTGAGCCACACTGGCCAGGGCTATTTTCCCTTTTTATTCTTCAGTCTGGTCCTCATATATGTAGAGCTACAAGCTTTTCTTTTATCATGTTACATAAGCGTGCACAAACATCAATTCTTAAATGAGAACCAAGTTCATCTTCAGTGAGCACTACATGTGATCTAACAAATGGGACCAACCAGTCATCTGCGTAGGGCTCCTAATCAGAGGATAGTCTAATGAGAATCCCGACCTTGAACAGCAGCTCTGTGGTTCAGCTCAGGCAGGGGAAGAAAACCTGTTTATGCTTCCCAGCAGCCACTTAACAGTGGTTCAGTGCATGACGTGGAATGAAATCCAACATCAGAATGAGAGGTCCTCCTGGATTTCTGAACTCCAAGATTTAATGTCCTATTGGCAATATTCTGCTGTGTGTCAGGCTGTTTGGCACACACTAGTACTCAATATATGTTTGTGGTAGAATCTTCCCGTTTGAGAGAGATAAGCTCTACAGTTCTTTTTGTATTTATGTAGGGACTTGAGGGGGTTATAAAAAATGTCTTTTAAATTTGGAATATAGAGCACAAATCTACTTCATATTACTAAAACAGCCAAGGAAATAAAATGCTATTTAGCATAAAAATTAACCATCATTTTTCTTGCATATCTTTGGAGCCTTAACATTTTCACATGTAAATAAATATTTTCCAGTTGGCATCTTTAAAGTTGATTGCTTGGTTGTTTTAAAGTCAAGTGCATTTGCCCTGGCTGGTGTGGCTCAGTTGGTTGGGTCATCATCCCATTCACCAAAAGGTTGTGGGTTCAGTCTCCCATCTGGGCACACATGGGAGGTAACCAATCCATGTTTCCCTCTGATATCAATGTTTCTTCTCCCTTGCTCTCTCTAAAACAAATAAACATATTTTTAAAGATTGTAAAAAATAAAGTCCAGTGCATTTTATTATATATTTTTCTCTTTTTAAAGATTTTTTAAATTTTCTATAGAGAGAGAGAGAGAAAGAAAGGGAGAGAAACATCAACATGTGGTTGCCTCTTGAGCGCCCCCCACTGGGGACCTGGCTCAAAACCAAGGCATGTGCCCTGACTAGGAATTGAACTGGCAACCCCCTGGTTCACAGGCCGTCACCCAATCCCCTGTGCCACACCAGCCAGGGCCTTTTTTTATTTTTTCATTATCATTTTTTATCAAACATTTGATAAATGAAATGTGTTTACTACTTTTGGAATGTTCTACAGAAAATTATTTTTATTAATGTAAATAAGGAAAATTCCTCTTAAATACAAAACACGGTTTCAATTACACTTCTGTTTCACGTGACATGAACTGATTTGTTTTTCCATTATGTATTTTCTTTCCACTCTAGGCCTTTTCTCAAACAACAGAGAATGTATTTTGTATTTGCCCAAATGCTGTCTTCTGTATCCACATGGTTGGCCATAGTTCTTCTAATATTTATCAGCCTTTTCCCTGAGATTCTCCTGATAGTATTAAAGAATGTAAGAAGAAGAAGCGCCAGGGTAAGAACTAAGTTAATATTACAACCTGATTTTTGGAAGGAGCTTCAATATCTGCCGTGAACTAAAAGCCTTATTTAGAGAATTGCATTAGTTACAGCATGTTAAACCCCTCCTTACAGGTTCATCACTTAATTTCCTCTTCTGCATAAAAAGTATAGTAAAAACTTCGTTATCCAATACAGGTGGTAAGTAGATTCCTTAATAGTGTTCTATGTGACCTTTAGCAATCCATATGGAGCATCACATATGCTCCATATGGAATTTTAAATGAAAAAATGATGTCTTTCTTTAGCCTAAAATTTTCACACCAGGAATTTCCACACCAACATTCCAGGTTGAACTTTAGAAATTTCCCTGTGAGTCATTTGCAGATGTTTTTTTCAGTTAATAATCCCAATTCGCTTCTTCAAAACCTTTCCCCTTCCTTTAATTATAGTGCTGCTTAATCTCTGAGTTGCTTCTAGCCCTGTCTGTCCAGCAGTATAATTGAACCAAAGAAAATCCCCTGGATGTGGTTTCTATATCCTTACCCTCCTGAACACACTTGTAAAAATTCAAGATGGTTTTATAAGTGTGTTTTATTTTTGCTGCTTAAATTGTACTTTTTTTTTTGCGGGAATGAGAAGTTACTACCCTCTGTCAGCCTAATTGCTTGGCACCTGCATTGCCTGATATTTTTTGAATGTTCCTAGAAAAGCCTTTAAAGTGAGAGGGGTAGATTAGCCTGGAAAACAAAAAACTTCTGACAAATTTTGACCAACACATTAATTAAATATGTCATTCCAGCCAATATTAGCTCATTTTGCCAAACAAAACCCTGTTTCTATGATGTTGACACTAACTAGATCTCATAGCCCCTCCAAGGCAACATTTTTAGGAAATAGTCTAAGCCATATCTATCTGACCCATTTCATCACATTTCTGAACCAGTTTAGCCGCAATACTGCTTTGTTTGATTTTTTTTTTTTTGGCGTATTGGATTGATAGAATCCAGTGGTTGTCATTATGCAGACGTAGGGAACTAAAATAATTATAGACGGAGTATCTTCAGTGATTAGATATATAAAAGAGGCGTATCATTGATACAAGTCAGTATTGACCCCCATCAAAAGCAATAGACTATCAGTGGCATAAGCCACATTGATTCTTGCTGTACGAGGCCAGTCAGTGCACAGTTAAGTGGTCAGAACGAGCCTTAATTCCCTGCTTCTGCAGGCCTAATGGGTAGAACTGGACACAACGAAGTTAACCTAGCTAAGACTGCCTTAGTCTACTCTTCCATCTTTCCAATAGACTCCTGACTAACTCCCTCTAGCCTGGTGTTTAGTCTGAGGATGGGAAAGTGACATTTACTTGTGTGATTATATTTTAATATCAGTTGAACAGAGGTAAAACAGATTGCTATAATAGGTTCCTCTCAGAATGGCTCCAGTGGCAATTTGCATAAAGCCAAATAAAAAATGTCACAGTAAAAAATGGTTTGGTACCTTTTTATAATAAAGAATTTGTCTTGGAAGGATCTCTGAGGTATTCTCCCATTCTTTTCATTTGGGAGTACACTTTGGGGTGGTCCTAAATGTTTTTCTTCTTTGGGGTAGTGGAGCTCATAGCAAATAATGGCTCCCACCCAGCTTTGTGCTATAGAGATAAAAAGTCTCAGAAGTCAATACCTTCAAACATATCTTATCCTCTTTCTTGGGCCCTTTCTTTTAAAAATACCTAGATACTTAGGTGATAAGAGCTACTAACAGACAGGGAAAAAGTTAGATACTGGCTGAAAGATGACTTTTATATAAATTAAATGATTGTTAAATGGAAGGAGGCTACAAAGCAGTCACAGGTAAAGATGAGAACATTCCTAATTTCTGTTGAAAGCATGCAGTCCTGGGACTTCAGCCCTTTTTACATAGCAAACATAGAGTGTTGCCAGGCGTTCAGCATGAAATTTGTTTGCCCTTGGTTATGTACATTATAGGAAGAATTCTAGTGTCCATGTTGTAGCTTGGCATGCTGACGTGCTGGAACAATGAGGAGACTTTCCCTCATCACCTTCATGCATTCAATCATTCATTCATTCCTACCCTCATTGAGCCAGTGAACATGTTTAACCACCTAATGATGAACATCTCTCTTTCCCACCAATGTCCGAAAGGCTAAATGGTTTTTCAGACTCTGTGTGATTTTAAGAGTTGCAGATGAGATATAACGTTGTAGGCACTCAGCAGTGCTGCCATTTTTTCTCTTCTTGTTTTTCTTTTTGCCATTTTTTCTCTTGTGAGAAAACACAAGAGTAAAGTAGTGAACGTGAATGCATGAAGGCCAAATGAAACATCACAGCCATGGGTATTCTGATAAGTCACAGGTTTACATAAGGCCCTATTTGGCCATATCAAAGAGGTAGAAATCACTTCTAAAATAAAGCAGAAAGCATATCTTAATGACCAACAGCCTGACATCCTGAGGGACTCCCTACTTTGTTCAGTATCCCTTGCTAAGGCATTGGCCTCATTTTAAAGAGAGACAAAAGATTCTTTTCCACTAGGTTGGCCTCTTACCTGACAGGCTCCCTAATGGGGTAAAGGATCTGTCCCTACTTAGAGGTAGAAGATGCCCTGACTACCAACCAGTAAGCATCTTGGATACTTTGAATCCACTGCCAGAAATGTCTGTGGCAAGTAAGCTCCCAGTGCTGTCCTCACATGGGTCTTGGCTGGCCCTTGGAGAAGGGAATTTAGCAGCGGGTAGTGAGACCGGCTCTGTGGGCTTTGAGAAAGAAGCTAAGCCATTTACATGTAACAGTTACAAAAGCAGCTTTCTGGTGACTCCCATTCAGTTTATCCCACATTCCCTGAGGGTCCACTATAAATTAGCTACTGTACTATGTGTTGCTAATTCAGGGATGAATCAGATAAGGCCCCCAGCTCATAAGGAGCCTCACTCTAGTTGTCATAAAGGGGATTCATATTATTATATAAGCAGAACAGTAGAGTGAATGATATGGCTTATTTTAGGACAACCGAGGTATTTCAGTGTCTTAGTCACTATCTCCTGAAGCCTCCAATAAAAAGGCTCGTATAACAGCCTGTACCACAGCCAAGTTCTGTCATGGCAGTAACATTATAAAGAGTTCTATCTTCAAAAAGGTGAGGGGATTAAGAAGTACAAATTGGTAGTTACAGAATAGTCATGGGGATATAAAGTACAGCAATGAGGATATAGTCAATGATGTTGTAATAACTATGTATGAGGCCAGGAGGGTACTAGATTTATTGGGGCAATCACTTTGTAAGTTATATGAATGTCTAATCATTAGGTTTTACAGCTGAAACTAATCTAATATTATACAGTAACTATAATTGAAAAACTTTTTTCTATTTAATTTTTAAAAGGTGAGGGGAATTTCTGCTATCTTCAGATATAGGTGTTCTCAGTCATTTAACTCAACAGTATAATTAAGCTAATATATTCCTCAGCTGTATTTTCATCAGTGTGCTTAATTATTTTTAAAATATCTAAATATGTTTATTGGTTTTAGAGAGCGAGGAAGGGAGAGAGAGGGATGGGGAGAGAGACAGACAGACAGACAGAGAAACATAGGTGTGGGAGAGAAATATCCGTTGGCTGCCTCCCATACACACCCCGACCAGGGATCAAACCTGCAAGCTAGGTATGTGCCCTGATTGGGAATCAGTCCCCCAACCTTTTGATTTACGGGATGACACTCGAACCACCTGAGCCACACCTGCCAGGGCACACAGTATGCTTAATGTTTGAGCTAAGATTCCATCATTAAGAATCATAGAGCTTTTCTATAGCTTATAAATTGACAAAGCTGTACTGCCATACTGCTGACAGTATATGATGAAATTTCAAAGGAAATTCAAAGTTTAGGATTTTGGGTATTTCAAAAGTTGTGTTTCCCTCTGAGCACAATTGTTGAGCTGTCTCTCAATCAGTGAAATATATATATCGAGACTTTCTGGCCAGGTAGTAAATATCACTTCTCATTACCAACGGAGGAATTTTCCACATGTCTTTATGTGAGTTTTCCCATGTAAAACACCACAATAAAAAGGGAGGCTTGACTTTGCCTATTAGAGATAGGAACACTATAATCCAGCAGGAAGGGGCCCCCGCAATATGGCGATGCCTAGCACTGGATGTCTGCACAAGCAAGCAGAAATATTCCATTCCGTAGGGAGTTCTTTCAGAGTGGAAGGCGAGGAAGAATGTCAGCTGTCTGAGCAAAATTCCCAGAGAAAGCACTTTGGAAATTTTGGAAATGCAATTTATCCTTATAATATCCTTATAATAATAACAATGGTGACAATCATCATTCTATTGAAATGCTGACAGTCACCTGCAACCATTGGTTCTGAGGATAATAGTCCTGTGAACTGGATTAGACAAAAATAAAGTTGAACTCTAACTAACGTTGTGGCTGTTGAGATGGATCTTTATGCATTGGCCTCTTTGACATATTGCTAACTGAGCTGGTGTCAAAGGTCTCTAGATGACTACAAAGGAATGTGGAAATTTCATACTGTTTCAGCTCATTATCTCCCATTCTCTGCCAGCTATATAGTTTTGATGGCTTCAGATACTCTTACCATGTTCTTTACCACCTTCTGTACTTTCATATTTCCTTTTTTTCTGAATAAAGTAACATAATCTGTTGGCCCCTAAAATTTGTGATTCATAGAAATAGTTTTATCTTTCATGGCTGAATGCAAGGTTTTGAGTGGACCAAAATGTTGCAGTCTTAAATAAATAACACTTGCAGAGTAAACATGAGGGTGGGGGACTTCATCATGGTGTGTGCCTGCAAAATAGAAGACAAAGCAATTTTCAAAAATTTTCTAGAAACTAAATATTTCTAGCTTTATTCATTTGTAATTTCCATGTTATCAACATGTCCCCAACTTTCCTTAAGGTAAAAATCCTAACAGGAAAAAATGCGGTAATGTTAAAACAGGAATAAATCCAAGTATTTGCCTTTAAAAGTTTGTTTATTGGACTCTGTTGGATACATATATTACTTTAACTGGTTTATTTTTAAGCCTGTTTTCGATAGCTACTAAGTAGATAATGTGGGTAATTAGCAACATTTGTTAAACTTATTCCCATAGTCCACCACTCATCTTCTGTTTTCCTTGGGCAAGTCTGTAAATTAGCTTATAACTTCAGGCATAGAATAAGAAGGAAAAACATAACCCTTTTTGGTTTTCTCATGAAACTTTATCAATGTTTACTTTTTTTCTGGGCATTTTGAAGGAAAAATGTATAGCTCCTTAGCCTACCCTTTGGAAGAGCTCTCTGTAAGAAAGGAGGAAACCCATCACATTATGTTAGAATAAAGGTAGTCAGGCACCAGCTCAGAGGTAGATGGGACTAAAGTGTGGTTTCACCAAATGTTTTCTCATTGCATTAGTTTTGAGTGGGTTTTTAACTTGCAGCTGCCCAATGGCAGTCAGTCTCTTCAGATTGTATTTGTGCAGTTGGATAGGGGAGACAGTCAAGTCAGTTCAAGGTAGAGTGGTGATGGGCCGTGGACACAGACCTTGGATCAACAGATTTTGAACAGTGGATTAATGATTTAGTAAATTGAAGATTAGAGATAAGCCTTATTTCAATGAGAAGCATACTTTTTAATTATTCATTCAAAATAGTCCATTTTCCCATTAACAAATAATTTTAAATTCATATACAGAGAAATAGTAGTTTGCACATATAATAGACTATTCCTAATTCTAACTTCTACTTTTACTTGAGAAATTAACGTCTTCAAAAATAACATGTCATTTTGACTTCAAATTCTCCAGGTTTCTTTTTAAATGTCTTACATTTCAGAGAATATTTACTTTTTTTTTTGTTTTGGTTTCTGCATTTCTCTTTTTTCTACTGCAATTTTCCACCTTTTGTGCAATTGTGAACAAGGTAACGAATCGCCTCCCTTCCTCAGGAACATCTACTATCTTCATGCTTTCTCAAACTTCCAGCAATCACAGTTTCTCTTGGAGTGAATAAGGTGATTTCCTTTCTTAATGTACCGACTTGCTTGCATTCTCATCTGCCTGACACCATTTTCTGATTATGAGGAATTACTTCTCATGACTCATTTTTATATCTTCTACTGATACCTAAGAGTATTTTGTCATTTTTCTTTAATCATTTGTTCACCTTCTGAAATCGTCACACTGGAGAGGATATTATTTTCAAAAACTTGGACAGTAAGTCTCTGGTTCCATTGATTCCTAGTACATAGTAGAGCCACGACATGTTAGAGCTGATCTGCTCACCAAGACAGGAAGGTTTTGCACAAATTTCTCTTTGATAACTGACGGCACTGCCACAACTCTCAGGGGTGTTCACCAAAAGGATGGCGTGGTTTACTAATCAGACCATATTGACTCATCTACCACATAACCTACCAGTGTCATTCCAAAAACCCAATTTGGCACATACTACTAATGTCTGTGTACTTCTGCCATGAAAACAATTCAAGTTGGAGACTTCTTGGCTCTTTAAATGTATTCATGTAAATGTTATGCATTTGCTACAGTGTGATCATTTGTTCTTTTAGCCAGAAGAGTAGTCTATAGAAAATGATTTTTTTCTTCTACATTTTTGTCAGCAGGTAGGTTAACCAGTCTTCAAATCCTTTAAGTATCTTTACCTCACTATTACAGAGAAATCTGAGCTGTAAAAAGGCATCTGACTCATTATCCACCAGACCTTCAGTCAGACCACTTCTTTTACGAACATTCTCAGACGAATCTAATATATTGTAACAGGTACCTAGTGTTAAGTGGGCTGGCTTTAAAGAAAAAGATTAACAGCATTATAAAGAAAAAAATGAAAATATCACTCTAAATTTTTTCTGCTGTTGGTGTGGTGAACTTTATACTATTCTTTGCCAAAATATAAAGATGCATTACTTGGAATATGAGGAATATGAATTTTAAATTTGCTAACCCCCAAATACAATGTTCAGCATTTTTCAGAGCTGGAGAATAAATATAACATATGTCATTTGTAAGGGGCCGGTAGTCAACAGCGGTACCATCATGTGAAAATGCCCATTAATACTGATCAAGAAGTATAATTTTGATTTTAAAATGTCATTTGAAAAATGGAAAATAAATATTCCAAAATTGCATCTGTATAGTATCAAGTCAGTTTAGCACTGCATGTTCTTTTGGGAATTATGTGAAAATAATTTAATGTGTTTGTATCTCCATGTGCTGTGTCTGTGTGTTTGCAGGTTTAAATTTAATGTCCTTGTAAATGTCTAATCCCCATATATATATATATGTATTAATGAGCCAGTCTACTCTAATCACTTTTAATGTCAAGTTTTATTCAAGCTAAATGTTTCAACTTTCAGAGGTAAAATCTTCCTAGCCATTCAGGGGGGTGCTAGCCTAATTCTGTATACTGCTTAATAATTAATTTTTCCACAAATGAGTAAATTTTATTTGCCAACAAAAGAATATTTGGAAGGAATTAACATGCTATGGGAGGAATCCTTGAACTTGGAATGACTCCGCCATGTGTACTTCGTTTCCCACTGCAGGGGCCTGTTACCCCAGACCTTCATTGGTCTTTTATCCATTATTGGGAATTCAGAGTGACTCACGAATGAGGTTTACAAGCTTGTCAGCTTGGAAACAACCCTATACAGCTTAGAGCTGGGCTGTCTTTCCTGAACACATAAAAATTAATGCTTATCGTGAAAGAAATTTTAGGTCAGTTCGTTTTGAAGCTAACAATTGTGAGTCCACCTCATTTACTGGCCGTCAACTTCACACTCCAGCAAAGAATAAATATTGAACTAATGGATAGATTCCATTGGTTCTTCTGTCTCCTACAGTTCATCACAGTCTGCATATGCCATGTTATTTTGGAAGCTGACTGGTTGGCCCCCTAGCCCCCATTTTGAGCAGCTTGGCTGCTTATATTTCCCCTCAGTGATGACTCTGCTTCCCAGGAACCTTTAAAGTCTTTGATTCTTTTGTCCCAGATAGTCTTGTCCTAAGCTGTGTGGTGCATTTTAGCTGTATTTTTTCTAGTGAATTTTGTATCCCCCTGGATTGCTCTCTTTAGCTTGTTCTGTGGTTTGGGGTTCTAGGCTGGGTCACAGACCCCTGCTGCTGCTTTTGGCCTCTCCAGGGCTTTAACTCGTACAATATATAATAGAGAGCTAAGGAAGTTGTGCTTTTTTTTTTTTAAGCACTTGTTCTATTTTAACATACTTATTTCTTCCAGGAATATACATTCACGTGGCATTAGTTCTCCTCCAAGGAAAATATTTGGCAATTAGTTTAGCTCCACTGAGCTTGTCACTTGCATGACAGTGGCAGCCTTATTTTCATTAGTCCCCATGACCCTGCTACCTGCAAAAGCAATGTGAGAATGTGGAACATGAAAAGGAATGGAAGGTACTGTAGAGGACTTCTAGTCCAGCCACGGCAAGGAGGGTGTACCTTCCTTCGGAAAGAAATGGGACGGAAAGAGCACACCCCATTAAAGCCTTCCACTACTCAGGTTTGAAAAGGTTGGGTTTTAGAGTAGAGAATCAAAGTTAGGCTCCCTCCCTCGACATACGACTTCTACTTTTCAACATACCAGATTCACTCAGGCATCCATTGGCCTATCACAACCCATCCTGATGATAGCATTTGATAATATTTAGAGGACAGAAAAGAATGTACAATTTTTAAGGGAAATTTCTCTGTTTTCTTAAAAGATAATGAATGAGAAAAACAAAAGAGTCTGCTGACCCTTAGATACATGATCTGCCAACAAGAAAATTAACTTCAGCATTACAGGGAGGAGACATGTTTTTTTTTTTCAATAAAGGGAAAATACTTTCGCAACAGTCTCTCCAAACAATATATCTTCAGACAAATCTCTGCCAAAATGCACACATCCAGAAACCAGTCATGGATGCATTCACTCAGCAGGCCCTGAGCATCTGCTGCATGCCAGACACCGTGCTAGGCATTGGAGATACAAATAAAATGCCCCTGTTTTCAAGGCGCTCCCAGGCTAGAGGACGGGATCGGCGGTGGGAGGTTAGTTCCAGTGGCAGCAGCTGTTAGGAGAGCCCTGGAGCGGTCCAAAAGCAGAAAGGAAGCCTGAATCTTATTCTGCTGACCAATGACAAAATGATTAAAATCTGGTGATTGTGTCACTCTTTTTCTTTTTCCCTGCATGTGAATAAAACTTGGCACTTTAAGACAGTTGCTTTCTAATTGTAACCAAATTTACTACTTGATTTATGTTTGAAAATGCTATGCAGATGGTTTCACCTTACTCGTATTAAAATAAGCCTTTTAACTCTGTATATTTTAAATTTTTCAGAATCAGAATCTTGAACTGCCTATGTTATTGTCCTACAAGCATATTGACAGTGGTTACAGCTAAAAAAGAAAGCATGAAGAAACAACTACAAAAAGTTATCATCTCAGGATACTCAATATGCAACAAACTGAACCACTCTGTTATGTCTAGAGTTCAGAATATATGTCCATTAAATACCAAATGACTATCATAATCATTTACAGTTATTGTAAGTAGCCATTATGGCCAAAGCTCTAAGTTATGAATTACATGAAAGTTGAAAGTAAGAATATTTAGAATTCCAGCTTTAAATAAAATAATATAACTTTCCAAATGGGTGCTCTTTTAACCCATGAAATTTGTGAATGGATTTTAATACAGTAGTGTAAAATAGAAGTCATGCAATGGGAATGAATAGATTTTGCTAATATGTCTCTTCTTTTTGCCTGGCGGAAGAAATCAGCTGTTTGGATCACATTTCTTGTTCCTGCTGAATGATAATCTTAAATTATTTTCAACATGTGAAAGGAATACTTGAAAATTCAGGAAGACTAAAGGATGATATCAATGCGTCAGATAGAATAATTAATCCTTTCCATTTACCCACATGCTAAGTTTGTCTGGATAGAATATCCTTGCCCCCAAAATACCTTGAACACGTACGTGGAAATAATGTTAGTCCTGGATGTTTTTGTGAGAATCCAAAAAATGTATTTTATTTTCATTCTTCTGAATAAGCCCCACTTACTGGGTGTGCGGGTACTAGATTTGCAAATAAAACATTTCCAGTCACTTAGTAACCCCTTAAAATAGTTCAGTTATAACAGATTTTCCCCACATCAGCCATTCTGGCATGAGGTAAGGTGAGAAAAACCATAAAACCACTTTACATAAAAGTAAAGGTCGTTCTGCACATTGGTCTTTCATAACTTTGTAGGGAGCGGGTAAGAGTAGCTTCTTTCAGACTTAACGGTTTTAGTTGGAAAGAGGCTACGTGTGTGTATATATTCAGCACTTTTCTTATTGCCAATATCGGAGGGACAGATCCACCCCAAGACGGTGTGTTTCAGCCTGCAGAGCCATAATTCGAGGCATAAATGTTGTCTCTCTTAGCAAACTCGGCTGGGTAACAGTCTAACTCTAAACCGTGAAACCCACCTTGGGCAAGTCCTCGACTTCCTGGGCTAGAAGGAGGTTTTAGCCTCTTAATGAGTTCACTTCAAACATAAAAGTAAATGTGAAGTGTCATCATTACATGTAAACATGAAACATATTGTTTATGGATATCAGTGACATTTGACTACTAAATTGAAAGGGTCTTTTAAAAAGTGTTGTCATACCAGTTTCCATTTCTGTTTGTCTGTACTGTTATTAGTGTTTATATTGTACCCTTTTGGAAAAGTATTGGGTTCAATCTGTACCACTGTGTTTACATAGTCCATATGGCACATTTTATTCTTCCATATCTAGTTTGTGTTAGTGTTTAGGTTTGACTTTTCTTAAATTTTAGAAGGACTTGATTTCACTCATCAGAACCATTTCATCATCACTGACCCATTCCCACTATTGCATTTGTTCTCATCTATCAGTATTATTTTTGAGTATTTTGTTTGGTGTCATTCACACCTTACGTACGTGTTCTGTGTTCTGGTAGCCTGTATCTAAAAGCAAAGTCTACATAATCTTTGCCTATTCCAAAGAGCTAAAAAGAGAGACCCAAGAAAGCTTTGGACATTTTGTTGTTGTTCTTATTTTTATTGTCGTTGCTGTATTGTTAATGTTTAAATGTAAAAACTCTGGGGACTGTGAATACAAATGAGAGAGCCACAGTGGATAAAGAAGGTCGTTTCATGCAGAGCCATTGGAGATCTGACATAATCAGAATATCCATGGTAGTGGAAATAAAACTGGTAGCCTTTAAAATTTCTTGCAGCCAGCGAGAAAGATGAGTAAGGGGGATGTCATGTCTCAGCCACACATGACACTGCGCTCCAAGCTCACAATGGCCATGACGTGTAATACCATGGTTTAGATCCCTGAGGGGACCCGACTCTCCTTTTTGATAAACGTTTTATGAATGAGCTATAAAATGGCTAGTGTGGGGTTAACAGATGGAACAACTTGAAGTAAGCCGTCCAGTATGCCCAGCACTATGATCTAACCACCTCATTTTGTGACAGAAAAGGAGAAAAGTGTAATAGTAGGATCATATTACATCATTTGAATAATTTTGAACTATCGATGTCCTTGTAATTCCACAGCTGTTGTCCGTTGTTTGAGGATGTTATCTACTAAACTGAGAAAATTAATTTCATACCTACTACATTTACACCAGCAACAGTATGAATGGAAGCGTAAATTTGGAACATTCATAGTACTTTAGTAATGACATTTTTAATAACATGCGTATATAAATGCAGATTTTAATGCGTGTTGACAAAATCATTTTTCAGCTTGCAAAATGGGACTGCAATATGACATTTTTCACTTAGGCAATTTTTTACATCTATGTTGTTGCTTTCTATAATGAATGTGAATGCCATCTTTTATGAATGCAAGTTGCCTTTTTCATTACAAAAATTTTCTTTGATGTAATCAATAAACTTTGGTATGATATGATTGATATTTTAGCCTCTTTTTTTGGAAAGATCTGTTTGACATAAAAACAATATGGAAGCAGTTTGGTGATGGAAAATAAGTTTCTAATTTCCTCTCTGCCCGTACAAATCACAAAAGATTGACCATTTCTCCACGCGTTCAACTGACACTTTAGGGCAGTATCTAATTTGTGGAGGTCACGTTATTGGCAAGAGTATTGAATAAGACTGTATCTTGTCACTGCAAAGATAAAGGCCCAGCCAAATCAGCAAATACATTTTGAAAGTCTACTGTGTGCTTGGCGGTGCGCACTTGCTGCTGCCCATGCATCGGAAGTGGTGTGATACATGGTTTGTGTCTCCATCCCATTGAAATCACTTGATTCTTAAGTAGCCAAAGATGCAGAGATTTTACAGTAGCTTGGAACTCAGTCCAAAATGTGTGTGTGCACCTCTCCCCTCTATCCCACTTCTAGCCCTCCCCTCCTCCCCTCCCCCTCCCCCTCCCCCCTCCCCTCCTCCCCTCTCCTTCCTCAAACATGGAAGTCCCTTTTGAAAGACTCTGCTCACTTTCACTGCTAAGAAACTGAAATTTCTCCACTGTAATTTCATGCATTACATTTTGACACTTCAGTTTCTTTTTGTTGCCCTTTGTTTCGTTAGATGAGAAATGGACTGTATTTGAAGGTGATACCTGAGGTAAAGTTTCAGCTTGGCCACTTAGTGACATTTCCCTCTCAATCCTCTTTCTTCTCCCTCTCGAAATGGTGTCTTGGGAGTGAGGGGTGATCAAATGAGGTAAAGGATCAAAATTGCTTTGTAAAATGTCATTTGGTATTTGGATGAAAGCATCATGTTTTATATTTAGAGTTTGGGTTGCTTTGCCTTTTTAAATGAATAGTTGTTATTTACCAGATTTGCATAGATGTGTCTTAGATTCTTTCCACCTTCTTAGAATTAGTCTATTGAGGCTTCCTTCCCTTCCCCCAACCAACCTTGCGGGGAGCTGCCTCAATGTTGAGTCTGCCCCGGATTGGCCAATAAAGTAAGTATTGTGAGAGTCTTGAGTGGCTTGGCCCCTTCAACAAGAAGGACATGCAAAGGTTAGGGGCTAAGGTTATCACTATGGTTATTCAGTGAATGTGTCCGTGGCTGAAGTGCCGGATGCATACTAATGAAGCTTGAAGGGCCGAGTTCTCAAAGTAGTTGTCAGGGAAAAAAAGGGGGGCTTAATCATTTCACGACATTTAAAAAATTTATTTTGACACATTTTCCCCCCACAATGCAATGGATGGAGAAAGGAAATGTGGGCTCAGTTTCTAGTACGTGGACCTGCTATGCTAAAGAAATCACTGCTGTGCAGATTTAGCGCTCATTTCATGGGACTTAGCTAGTGCTTGGTGTGGGCCTCTGGCTGAAGGGGGCAACGCACCTTTTGGTGGGCCAGGGTTCCTGCCAGTGGCAGGTCTTCAGCCCTGGCTCTTTGGGGAGAGGCAAAGGATGCTCATGGCTAAAATGCCTGCCCCTGCTTTAGTCTCTTCATCAGTTTGCAAGAGCTTGTTTCCTACTACAGTAAACTCACTGAATCTCAACTAAATCCTAACTAATATGGGAGTATTAGCTAATACTCCCACATTAGCTAACACATACACCTAAGCACTACTGTACTATTACATATATTCACTCCTTTAATCATTCAACAACCCTATGAAATAGACGTTAACATGTATTCATTTGACATAAGGGAGCTGACTCACAAACCAAGGTCACCCAGGTTGGTCGAGGCAGATCTGGGAACCAGTTGTTATGTCTAGAGTTCATGCATTTAAACCAGGATACTGGTTCCCATCATTATACTGCGTCTGATGGCATGAATAAACAGAGCATCACAATGTTAATGCAAAGCACTAATACTAACCATGACAGCATCAGATAGGCCCAAGCTGAGGGATATTCTGCAAATTGACTGGCTTGTAAACTTCAAAATGATAAAGATTACAAAAGACAAAGGCTAAGGAATGATTACAAAAGACAAAGACTAAGGAATGATTACATAAGACAAAGGCTAAGGAATGGCCACTTAGACAACATAACTAAGTGCAGCATAGGATCCTCGGATGCTGAACCAGAAATTGGACATAAGTGGGGTTATTAGTAAACATTATGGTATGTACATCGTGTATAATTACATGTTACAATAATGTTCATATTCTGAAATTTGAAATTGTACTGTGATTATATATGTTATATTTTATATATAATGAGTGAGTCTGAGTGAAAAGTATATGAGGATTTTTTCTAGTTTTTGCAACTGAAGTCTGAAGGTATTTCAAAGTTATAATTTGAAAAAACAAAAAGTTAAAACAGGCATAAAAATAACCTGAGGGAGCATTAAATTGAACTGAATGGAGGAGACTGAAATATAAATTATTAACTAATATCTGCATAGCACTTTCTGGAATGTGTTTGCATACCTCATTTAATCTTTACAACAGCCCTGTGTACAGATCAAACTCCAGATTTTTGCAGATAAAGAGGAGGGCTCAGACAGGGTCATTATCTTGCCCCTGGTCCAACAGGACTGAACCCAGGTCTGACCGATGCCTTTCCTGCTGTACCATGCTACAGTTCGGGGCTCTTAAAGCATGCCCTCCTGGATTCTGGAGTGATTAAAAAACGAACTGTGGTGCAGTCATTTCCCCGTGGGCCCATCAGGATGCAGTTAGTCCTACTCCAAGTCAAACCGTAATGGGAATCGTGTCGACACTTTAAGCGTGGAGGTGGGTGGTCTCAGAATGCAGTAGGTCCAATGTTTTCCCATTTGTCCATAAACTGGGCTTCCCCCCATGTACTGCTCATTCAGGTGTCCCAGGCAAGTTTTAGCCTACCCCTTCCTCCTGCCATCTGAGTGAGAACACAAGCAGTCTCCTTCAACTTAATCATGAGGCATCAGTTTAGTCACCTGCCTCTACCTCTGGCATCTAAATTATGTAATTAAGGCAAGAACGTGGAGATACTGCTAGCACTACGTCGCAGATGAGTCTGCCCTGGTCTCTATCAAAATCCGATTGAGATGATTGTTACTCAGCATTTCACAAGCTGGGTTGTATGAAAACTAGAGTCCTAGGGAATGTTATTAGGTTTTCTTGAGAAAGTGGGTTCCCTGGGCAAATCACATTGGGAAGTTCTGTGTATGAATGTCCCCGGTCGAGGAGTTACGATGCATACTAGAACATTAAAGTCTCTGAGAAAGAATATTAAAGAAAGCAATTGGACTTTGTTTAACCCCGCTATGCTGCAAACACTGGACCAAGAAACCCATTTTGCATCGGCCATCACAACAAATCATCACAGCGCATTTTTCTGTGGTATTTCACTTGAGAAATGAAACAAAAGCTACGTTCTCTGCACTGGTAACTATATGAATCGCACACTCCTCCCCACTCACTTGATGGAGTTCTCTTTCATGATCTGAGAAAGATGTAAATACAGTTTTTAAGCCAAAAGGATCAAAGACCAAAGTGGAAAACAGACCATCCCATTTATTTAAAATGGAGAGAACTTAATATAGGGAATTGATAGCATATGTGATGGTGGAGCTGAAAAGCCCACTGGGGACTCCATGCAAAGCGGCCCACAGATTAGAAAGAGTAGGAGGCCAAAACCATTGTTAAGCTGGTGGGACGAAAAGGTGGTGGAGATTCTGAATCTTATGGCCTGGTTGCTTGGCAGCAATGGGAATCACTACGGCCATGTCGTGCAGCTGGGGCCCTAGAGTCTCACTCAGTCACTGTTGAAGATGCAGCCTGAGTTAGAAACATTGGCTTCTCCTGGCTATCCCCAGGCTTCCAGCCAGTGCCTTCAATTGGCTGCAAGCAGCTGACATGGGAGCCTGGGGAATAGTTTATAGGGGTCACTCACCATCCCTACAGTGCAGAGTAGCACAGTGAGCGGTAAGGAGCGCCTCTGAGGGAAAATAGGCCCACGGCCGGCACATCTAGGATTTAACGAGTCAGGTTCAAATTTAGTGTCGTTACAGTGTATATTAAAGATGAAATGTTAAGAAACTAGGTTTTATAGCCCCTTTATATACCCCATCCTTTATATTTCCCAGGTGAAGAAAATGTGGAAAAATGAGTGTGAACTCAGCTTTGTAATATATTTAGTGTGAGATGGATGATGATTTATGGATACACAGATTAATGGAAATAGGAGGTACCTTCTTAATTAGTAATAAAGACACTTGAGCACTACACAGACCAGAGCTAAATAAAGGAGTAAGCATATCTAGATAAATGAAGTTTACCTCCATCATACTGAAATTTTAAGAACATATATACCACATCTTTTTTTTTAAAAAAATGGACCTTAAATACAATACAGGGGAGGTCATTTTGGCCTCAGGTTAGGGCAGATTTTAAAGTGCAGCTTTGCAAGTAATAGATGGCTATTTTGTCTGCTTTAGACCGTTTCTGTGTTTGTATGGCCTAGAGCCATGCCAGGACTCTAGATGATACTTAACAAATATGTATTTAATTAATGATTATTACTTTATTTCTGACTGTTGCCTGAGCCTATTTCTCAACTGCCTTTGAGCTCACAGGGGAGATGGATATTACCATATACAACAAAGAGTGTTCTTCATGTTTTCTCCTTTAAAACCTTCAGGTTCAGACAGCCAGTCCTCAGCTCATGAGCTCGGTTCTTGGTGTTCTAAAGGTAGATCACTAAGAAGAACGTAGGTTTGTAGAGGAGAGGGGAAAAGGGGGGAGTCGTGGGCCTGGAGTGTCTTGGAATGACATGATTACAGAGCCTTTCCCCAGGCTGCTAAAGGAGAAATGACAAAAGGGTCTTGGAGTACAAAGAGCAGGCGGGACTTATCTCTCCTACTAAGCAGCACTTTCAGGGAAACGGCAGGAACGGAGAGACCAACAGTGGGGTGTATGAAGGTGGGCAAGATCCTAGGAGAACTGACTGTGGAGACACCGTGTAGACTGGGGGAATGGACCTC